ATAGGTATTTTTTTACTTGATGATAAAAGTATCAAGTACATAGGTTTCTGTTTATACTTATTAGAAGGAGAATATAGCCATTTTTTAAATCTTATACATTAAAATTTAGGTCTACGGCAATCTATAGTGCATAAATTCTTGGTAACTGGGAAAATACGCGTGCGTAAATTTAAAGTCAATTGTGAAGTAGACGTAATAACGATTGCCCTTCACCTCTTTCATTTTCACTCATATTCGCTTATGCCATGACCATTAAGAAAGCAAAGAACAGCTGACAAATAATACTTTTATTGATGTGTTATTAATCAAACAATGATCACTACAAAGAAGTAAGTTTTTAATAGCTTTTTTTATAATGATAATTTTAAATATAGTGAACAGGAAAAAAAATATAAGTAAATTTAACAAGTTGTAAATATGATCAATAAAAACTAACCAAATATTTAGGATACTTTGGAGTATTAAATAGATCAAAAGAATAATAAGTAGTATATTAATGCTCAGAACATATTTCATAGTTATTGACGAACTGTACATCAAATTTTTAATGTCTCATAAAAGTCTTAATTTGTTAAAAAATATCAAATATTATAGCATTTTTTTATAGTATATGATATTTATAGTATTTGATATTTGTATTTTGTAAATATAATCACATATTATTTTGTAATTTTCTCACGAAAATTATTTTTTCAGTTCAAAGTGGAAGTTAATTATTGAATAATGCGATAAAAATAAACTTATAGAAATGGCTGAAAATATTAACTGTGGTGGATTTGTATTTTACAATAATTTTGATTCTGCTAATTTGGCCAAAGTTGAATTAATAAGAGTACCAGAAATATTTAATATAGGTAATCATTTTTGTCTTACAGTGTGCATTTATTATAAGCTGTAATATATTCATTAATAATATATTTATTCTCAGACTGAAATTAAACTTATTATTATTTATGTCAGAAAATTGTTATATAATTAAAATAATTTTTATTCATAGCAATTTGTGAAAATGAAAGTAGATCCTGCAAAAGTTTAAGTTCTGACGAGACATCTGATTATGAATTTAATTTGTGGACTAAATATGACTGCCATGGAACAGAATATCAAAACAATAACCGAACATGGTTTTATTTTGGTGTTAAAGCATGTTCCCCAGGTATTTGTGTTCGATTCAACATAATTAATTTAAATAAACAAGTTAGAATGTTTAGTCAAGGAATGTGTCCAGTATATAAAATAATACCAGGACAACTTCATTGGGAACGGATACATGATAAACCAACATATAAAGTAATTATATAATGAATAAATTACAAATTAAAGTCAAATAATACCAGAAAATAATACAATTTTTTATTTGGATTTATATTATTAAGGAATACTAAATTAAAAGTTATTAATCATGTTCTTGATATATTTTTTATTCTACAGGTTGATCAAACCAGTAGTGATTTTACACTATCATTTACTTATTATACCCCAGAAAATCAGAAAGCTATAACATATTTTGCTTTTACGTATCCTTTTTCATATACCGATTTGCAAAACTATTTAAAAAAAATTGACATAAAAATGGCAAAACGCTTTATAACAAGCACTGATGATATATATTATCATAGGGAATGTGCAATAAAATCATTAGAAGGTCGTAGATTAGATGTTTTGACAATAAGTTCTTATCACAATATATTAAGCGTAAGAGAAGATAGACTCAAAAATATGTTTCCTGAGAAATATGAAGAAAGACCTTTCAAATTTTTGGATAAGAAAGTATATTTTCTTTTTGTTTTAATTCGAAATTTGTACATGTAAATATTTGAATATATACTAATTTATTTAATATATACATTTATAGGTTGTTTTTATAAGTGCGAGAGTACATCCAGGAGAAACACCATCCAGCTTTGTACTGAATGGCTTTTTAAAGTTCCTTCTAAATCAAGAAGATCAAATAGCTCTTCATTTACGTCGTATGTACGTATTCAAGTTAATACCAATGCTTAATCCTGATGGAGTTGCTAAAGGACACTATCGAATGGATACTAAAGGAGTAAATCTCAATAGGATGTATTTAAGTCCTTCTGAACATGAACACCCTACAATATATGCAGCAAGAAATTTAATACGGTAGAATAATTAATGTTTTTCTGCTTGATCCAATATATGCTCTTTTTAATTATTTTTCTGTAAAGATATTGTATCATAAACAATTTTGGTAATATTGTAGATATTATCACAATTCTTACAACGTAATAGAAGAAAATTTACCTCTAAAAGTAGAAAGTGCATGTATAAAGAATCAAAATAATATCAGAATGAAGGAGATACAACAACATTTACATACCAATGTTATATCTAATACACCTACAAGATTAATTCAACGGGTAATGCTGCATTATATTTTAATTATATCAAATTATGATAATGTATCTATTGAATATAACTTAATATTCTACACAATATCTACAGCTTTTCATTACTATTGCCTTCAGGTAAAGTTATTGACATTGAATGAAAGAGCTAAACCTGAGTCAGAAGCTAATTATGAATGTATGTTCACAACACATAGCTTGGATAATACATGCTGTGGTAAGATTTAACATCATAAATTTAGTATAATCATTTAGATTTATAAAATTATTAAGTTTATCTTCAAGATATTACTTCATTATAATGTACTCAGGTGAAGGGCAGGAATTATCTAACAATGCACACGAATATCAGGATATATTAAAAACCAAATATTATACTGATAAAGCACCGTTTAGAATATCTGAATCAAATAATTTTTCTAAATCATCTACTGAATCTGGTCTCTATTTATATATTGATCTTCATGGTCATGCCTCAAAAAAAGGTGTATTCATGTATGGAAATCATTTTACCGATCCAGAAGAAACTATCACCTGTATGCTTTTGCCAAAATTGATGTCCATTAACAATCCAAATTTTCATTTTACATCATGTAATTTTGCAGAAAGAAACATGTACCTTATGTTAGTAAATTATATTATATTGATGCATTAAAATTAGTACTGAAGTAATTGTAAATAATAATAATAATTTCTTATTTATTTCAGTGATAAAAGAGATGGCATGTCAAGAGAAGGTTCAGGTCGAGTAGCAGTATATAAAATGACAGGTCTTATACGTAGCTATACTCTTGAATGTAATTATAATTCTGGTCGTTTAGTAAATATTGTACCTGCCAGAATTCGTGATGGTATTAGTAAAACGATCAACCATTTATATGTACCTCCTAAATATACACCTACAGTGTTTGAAGCGGTACAAATTCTTGCATTCTTTTAATTATTACTAATATTAAGATTATTTTAATACATAAATTAATCAGGACCTAATAATATACATAATTACAAATTATAGGTAGGAGCAGCATTAGGACCTTCTATCCTTGATCTTACTAATAATAATCCAAACAGCCGATTACCAAACAGTCAATATCGTTCACTAAAAGGTGTAAGATCTTATTTGAAGTTAACGCAAATGAATAGTCTTTCGACATCATGCAATAAATCTGCGTACAAGGTAAATTTTCATTTACATAATGAAAGTAAAATTTTAGAAAATAATATAACGTCATGTGTTTTGTCTTAATATAATTTATATATATATATTACTATATATATTAATAGTAATGTCAACAAATATTAATATATTAATAAAAATAACAGTATTAAATTTGTATATATTTTTTACTATTTAATAATTTTATTTAAATAGAAACATTTTAAAGAAGTTGATAGATTAGTTAAATTTAAAACAATTAAATTTAAAAGATTATTTTGCACATTATATTATTTGTATATTCTATATAAAATGAATAAGTCTTTAATTCAAAAATAATATGTATGATAAAAAAATTTATATCTCATAATTTAGTTTTTATATAAAAGTTTCTAACAAATTACAAATGCACTAATTTTTATAAGTTTTCAATGCGTATTATGTATACAAAATAAAAAAATAAGATATATATATATAATAATTTATTGTTGAGTCGCGTGTAGAATTAATTCATACAGGAGATATTGCGATTTCAAAAGTTTAAAAAATATATAGAAAATAACCTCTTAAAAAATTATAAATAAAATGACTTTAGACATTCTTTATCTAATAATATCTATACTTTTTAATATAATCTATATAATTCATTGTACATAAAGATATTATATATCAATATGCATTAATAATATAAAAACAAACACTGTACACATTAATATTACTTGAGGAATGCTATCACTAAGATTATAATACTTATTTGCTATTTATTGCTCATTATCTCTTTATATATGTATATGATAAATGATATCTATTTCTTTAGAGAAAATCACGACATAGAAGTGTAAACAATCATATTTCTGGATCATGAAGATCTATTGAAGCAAATTGTACCTCAGTGTGTAATCTTAAAAATTCTCCTATATTTCATAAATAAAAAAATATGAAAAGATCTATTAAATTCCCTAACACAATAAATCTTACAGAAGATAAAATATGTGTAATTATTTCAACTAGTCTATTTAAATGTATGCATATAAATTACAATAAATAACATTTTGGACGAAATATATTAGACACAAATAATAATATTATTAATAATAAATTGTCAATGAATATATATTATTATAAAGTATATACATATTAGAATACGATGAATACACTTAATAGCTATGATATACTACGTAACTTACATATATGAACATATATAAAATTTATATATGACATATATAAATTTTTTTTGTAATCTTCCTAATTACATAGATGTACAAATGCTTGTATACACATAGAAAAAAAATATTATTTTATAATATACTTCAAAGATTATTAAGTTTTATATGAATTATTGAAAATAAATTTTGTAATGTTTACTGATATTATTATATGTTTAAATATACATATCCATTAATAAAGTCATCATAGTATTTTAATACTTATTTATTCACTTTATTTTTATTATTTGAATAAATCAACATTGTCTATTCTATTAAATATTTATCATTTTTAAAATCAATAAAATAAAATAATATCAATATATAATTCGCGAGAAACGACTAAGAAGGACACCTTACGCGTACCAACTGTTCAGTGATCCCAGAAACTTTTGCTTGTCTGATCGACACAGTGCCATAAAATTATCACAGTAAAATTATCTTACGCACAGAAAAAAAGTTTTGACTAGTTTGACTAGGTTAACAAAGAATTTCTGGATTTTCAGATTTTTTTTTTAAAGTATATAAAAAGCTAAAAAAGTATATTTTCGCAAACTTGATGACCTTTTCTTTTTAGTCCTTTTTTAGACTTCGACTTTTGACTATGCGACTATGTATGGCCATCCGCATACCGCGTACAGGTAGTAAATATCACTTTTTCAACTTTACGAACTTTATCGAACTACATAAATAAAACCGTGTACCATGTAGGGCAATAGGAGGCGCTGGGCGAGCGCTGCGCTGCACAATCGAAACAAAGACAAAATCGAGACGTATCGAAAATTATATTTACATATCGAATTATCGTAAAATTATCGTACAAGTTGAATTTACGATCGTACAATGCTTCAAATTATGTGACGTGACGATAATTATCGTACGAATGGGATCGCTGCTACTGTTGCACATAAATACATCCATGGAAACAACCACTGTCAGCGCATGACTGTGACGTCGCATGCGCATGCGCACGAAGACCCACGTGGGAGAAAATTTCACGTCCTGTCACTATAGCCGACTCGTCGTTGGTCGTACGTATAGTTCTCACTGGTGGCGTTTGGTCAGCTCCGTGGTAGGAATCCTGATCCCCCCTTGCTGGGGGACCGGAACTCGATTTTGCGCGCGAATGATTCAAACATTGAAATAATTATGAAATAATGAATTGCATCAAATACAGAAAAAAAATGAACTATATTTAATGATAATTAAAAATTTATATTAAAATAGAATAGGTTACACGAAAAAATTATTATAAATTCAAGCGGTCCCCCAAAATTTTCAGTCAATGGCACATGAGCTGAATATGAATGGCGCATCTCTCCTACAGGATCCCTACTCCGTGGTCAGCTCGATCGGAATTTGGCTGGCGACGGGAGTCGGAACTCGACGAGCAGAGCAGCCACAGTAAACATATTCGTCGGTAATGAAAACGAGCAATCGTAATAAGATATTTTTTTGATAATTTCGTATGAATTGCGACAACTAATTTCAAGGTGTTGTTGTTTTAATGTTCTTATTGTAAACAATTATTTTACTATTCTTAACTGATCATAAATAATAAAGTAATAAGGTAACAATTAAAAGAAATATATATTATAATTTTTAAAATAATAATTAAAAATTTGAACAATTTATAATTATAAATGTAATTTTTTAATTTTAACTATGTTTAGAAATCATGATTGGGTGATTTAGATACATATATGTTTTAGGCCTAAGTATTCATTTGAGGCTAATTTATAGCAAATAATGATGCATTTGCATTATAAACAAAATATAACAATGCAACAGAAAAAGAAAAAAAAATTATTTCAGAGATATAGCTTTTTCTTCTCAATGCTTCTTTGTATGTTACTTGCTACTATACAACCATATTTAGGGGGTACAATCGGTATGCATTTATAAATAATAATATTTTATCGATACCTAGTTTTATTTATTTATACATTTGATAAAAGTATATTTATTCTTACTTGAGTTTATATTTTAAAATAACAACATATAGTTAATGAATTTAATAATTTTTTAAATATTAAAATTATTATAATTTAACAATAAATTAAAAATACAAGATCTATATCAGAAATATATAAATAAATTTGACATACAGTATCAATTACTTTTTAGTAAATTTTAGCTTCCACCATATCAGCACTATTTAGCATTTGTTTATCAATTTCATAGCTATATGTATTTAAGAGAATATAAATAATATGGATATTATATTACTTTATAGGTATAGCAAGTGGCAATTTTATTATCTGGTATTTTGCAGTGCCACTAACATATTTAGAAGCAGGGTTATTATGCACTCCACATTCTCTCTATGTGGCGTTAACAAATGGTTACCTGATAATATTTGTGATGGTTTTTATGTATGGTGTGATGCCCTTTTTAGCTAAGCTTGGAACATGTTTATTATTACATACTAAAGTGAACATATGGCTTCTTAAAGGAATGGAAGTAAATATTAACGAAGTTCATCGACTTGCATGCACATTATATAATCTGGCATGACAAATTTCACCTAGTATATGCACTATTTATTTATAAAAATCCATATATTACATCACGGAATAAGTGCATATTGAAACGAGTAAAGTAATTAAGATTATTACTATTATTATTATTATTATTATTATTATTATTATTATTATTATTATTATTATTATTATTATTATTATTACTACTATTATTATTATTATCATTATTATAGTCATTATTTATACTATTATTATTGTCATTGTTAGCTTTTTTATCATATATAATGATATTTCATTATTGTTAAATAATATTAGTAGAATCATATATATAAAATATATTATAAGTAAAAGCTTAATATTAATGAAGCAATATATTTTCTCCAGGTACTTTATTGTATGCCACCACCATTTACTTCCAGTCTAGCACTTTGTCAGATAGCACAAGCTGATCTACCAACTAGTGTGGTTACTACTTTAATAGGACATTTGGGAGGTTTTTTCTTATCTCCGATTCTTCTATATTTTGTGGTAAATTATATTTTTATAAATTTATTTTTTAATTCAATTTAAAAATTTAACAATTCTATAATTATGTAATATAATATAATTATATATTATTAATTATCACAATTCTAGTATAAATAAAAAATTAGATCATAAGTTTTAAAATATGAATGCATCTTCTATATTACAGTTAGGAGCATCTACTCCACCTTTAATTGGTGTTAATGTTAAGGAGATTATTTATAGTACTTTGTTACCTCTGACTATTGGAATGATATTACAGTTTTCTGTAGTAAACCCTAATGTCTGCTCCATAATTGGTATTGGAAGATATTCTCAAGGATTACTATTAGTCATAGCATATTATTGGTTTTCTGATGCAGTTTCTGCAGATGTTTCATCTTTGCAAGCTACGGACATATTATTATGTATACTAATTGGTATGTTATTTTTTAAATTATAATTTAAGTTATATACTAAAAATGTTATTGAATATTAATATTGCTGGTTAATCATATTTTTATAATTATTAAATGATTTTCATGGAAATAAGCAAAAAATATTATTGTTATTAAATACTTTTCTTAAAAAAGTACTATAAATATGTTTTTAGTAGATAGATATTTATTCTTTTCTCTTGTGGAATATAAATCTCCCACTTATATCATTCTTACACTCTATTTATAGACATTTTTATATTATCTTTCTCTCTTAACACATAACGTTCGTGTTATCATCGTGCGCGTATTGATCCTTTATCAGTAATTTTATAATATTATAGTTTTTTTTTATTCCAGCTTGTATTGGACAGCTTTTCACATGCTGTTTATATTGGGGTTTGTCTTCTAGATGGTTACCTAGAAATACTCTTTTAGCAGCATTATTTGTTAGTACTCATAAATCAGTTGGTCTTGGAAGCTGGATTTTACGAAGTACATATCATGGATCTGCTCAGGGTCCAGCAATAAATTTACCACTTTCAATTCTGCCTGTAGCACAACTAGTATTGGGTACTTTACTGGCCAGTTGGATTGCTCCACATTATTCATTGAAAAATTGAAAAATTGAAAAATTAAAAAATTAAAATTTTTCTCATATATTTTTCTTATATTTTAGAATCTTTTAATTAAAGTGCATTTGTTTAAACATTCTAATCTAGTTATCATTCGAGTTGTAAATTATTTTATATTCAAAGTTTAGTAATAAATATGTATTAAACAAATGTACTATTGTTGAAAATAAGTTAAGTATCTTCCACGTACATTACATTTTGTTTAAACAAATAAAAAAATAATTAATTAAAGCTTACTTGTACAGAAGAGAACGCTTCGATGATTACTTGATAGAATACGAAATAATACAGTTTAATGATATTGTAATTTATTTATTAAATTACTCAAAAATCAATTAAATATTTTTATTAAATGTGCACATCTTTTTTTAAATATTCTAAAAATGATGAACAGAATAAAAAAAATATAGGTTAAAAATTTTGTCCTATAACGCAAAAAAATACAATTGTATAGAAGAGATTGTTGTGTAGATATTTAAAAAAAAAATTGACTTTGCATATATCATCTGTGACAGAATAAATTCGCATTATGTGTATCGATTATGAAAAATCACGCGTTACTGTATCTGCATTATCGATTAGGTACTATAGGTACCTTTTCCGTAACGTACCGTTCTAAGGTATTTGTAGAAAAATCGTCTTAGTTAGCACCAGCACCACTGACAATAGTAAGTAGAAAATACTGTATTCTTTGATATTATTGTACCATAATTGTACCGTTTTTTGATAGTATTGTACTGCTATTACGTAAAGTATATACTATTTCCTACTAATGGTATCGGTACTAATTAAATGAATTTTTTACACGAAAAATGGACTTCTAATGTTCTATATTATTCTATATTTTTTTGCTATAATCAAATGGACAAGCAGCAATTCTAACAAATGACCTACCTGTTATTTAAATAGGTTAATCCATGGCATCCATAGAGTTAATGAAAACATATTATTATTGCAAAATTTCGTGCATGATTTTCATAGATGGCAGTAGTATGCATTTTTGACTGTGTTAATATTTTTGTATAATCGTATTATTAACTGACAGTTATTTAAATGCTGTGAATTAACATAACCTTAACAAAAAATTCCTTTAAAATAATTTGTCTGCAAGATTAATATTCAAAATGAAAAATAAAAAAGTTACATTTTCGTCATGTTGTTTTATGAGTTTTAAAAAGGAGTGAATATTGAAATTGCCTCAAAAATATTTAAGACATTTATTCAGATTGTACTCCTGCTCTTTAAACAATTAAAATGATTTTGTCGATTTTAAAATGGTGACTTCAATTTAAACGATAAACTTCGTTCTGGTCGACTTTTCAGCATGGATAATGACTTCATCTGTCATTTATTGAGTAATAATTTACGAATTACCACCTAAGACATTGATGAGAAACTAAATGTTGACAATTCGACTACATGTTGCCATTTAAAGCAACTTAGATACATTTCGAAATTCGATCTATGGGTTCTGTAATTCTGAAAGAACGATATAAACTGAATGACTGAACAAATTTGATGAATCAAAAAGGAAATATCTTTCACCATGACAACGATACATCGACGAGCGATCGCATGTCGCTCAATAGATACTGTAAAACTTATGAAATTAAAATGCGAAATCCTCCAGCACCTGATGTATTCCCTTCAGATTCCCCTTCAAATTTTCATCTGAATGATGAAAAATTTGATTCTGTGGGAGAAATCAAAAATTATTCTACAACTTTATTTGAAAAATCCACACAGTTTCTGCAAAAAAGAAATTTAAAAACTTGTAAAAAGTTAAGAATCAATTATAGAAAATGATGTAGAGTACATTGTTAATTAATAAATACTATTTTCAAATTATATATAAATTTTTTTAATAATCTAATACTTATCATTAAATAATATCGATTTAATTTTAAATCTACTAAGAAAAAAGTACATTAGAGTATGATAATGCAATTGTTATAAGAGAATACGAAGAAAAAATAAAAGATATAGGTCAACGTACTCTTTGTTAAAAATTTGACATTTCACGTAAAAAAAAATTAAATCTCACTTATGATAAATATAATTTAAGAACACAAGAATTGTATTGAATTAAAAAATCAAAATCCTGTAATCCGTATCAATTCACATTCATAAACACATGAAAGCTTATCTATATACGAAAATATATTTTTAAAAGAAATTTCGTCTTATCGTAACCTAGCTTTACCGAATAAACGGTTAATAATAAAACTCAAATCCAAGAACCGGAAATAAAGTCAAATATATGTATGTTCTCTGTCATTTCACAGTTAGGACCAATCATTATTCTCTTCATCGAACATCGTGCACGGTAGAAACATTCTCATTGGTCATACAATACCGCTCTGTTTGCATCTTACTTTAGTACATTTAAAACAAATATATCATTGATGATACTGATTGATTGTAAATAATTCTTATTTTAATGAATAAATTTATTAATAATAAGCATATAAAGCATAAAATAAATAAATATAAAGAAAAATGACAAACAAATCGAGAATGCAAATAGTCGCTCAATTGACTCAGTGGTACGGCGGCAGCAATACCATAGACCTGCGCAAAGAGATTCTCAAATCTGACCGTCACCTGTATTGAAAAGGTAAGCAATTCTGTAGTTATTAAATCGAAATATCTTACTGTGATTTTCATTAACGATCGTCGCGAAAAGGCAAGGGATTATTATATGAAGGACGCGTCGTCGTTCAGATCGATTGTCACGCATAATCACGTTCATGAGATCAACAAATATGTTCCGAAGTTGTCAAGCGTCTCCGATGTGTTAGTTGTGGGGGAGGTCGAGGATCAGTTCTCTGCTACGTTGCTTTGAGGTATCGTCGGCAGCAATTCTTAAGTACTATCATCGCTGTGAAATATCGCTAATATTGTCTGTCGCGTTCGCAGAGGCATTCGATTTAATCGGCGGGAAAAATCAGGCCGGTTTATGTCAAGTGCCGAGTGAAAACTTTCACTCGTGTACGCAGGAACGACTGATCGTTTGGCGAGGAAGACGGTGTGCGGGGTACGGGTAAGATGTGTGTGTGTATATTAGTATATTTATATATATATATATTAAGTATGTACACATGTACGTGCAATTGCCATCCTATCGTTAACGTTTCCGATATTTCATCGAGTATTACATGTACTAAGTGTCCTGGCAGTGCATCAAACTAAGACGCTACAATTTAACGCGGGATCATCTTCATCCAGTCTTCGAACATCCTCGATCGTATGTTATACATAACATTAATATAACAAACGTTCCTTGTCGCGATTCCCGCGGTTTTCATGCCGCTGCCGCCACCGCGTGGCTCCTTCTATTTGGCAAGTTTACTTGTGTTGTGTGTGCCGTATCATCTGTCATGGCGCGTACACTCTTCTTCTTCTGGCGGGTTACTATATATGTAGCTGGCTGCCACTACTCCGGCTCGATTCATTTGTTTTGCTTTTTTCTGTTCTTATTCTTGTTAATATTACCGTTGCGACGACAACGCATTCGTAGATGATTAATAAGGGCGACAATGACGCTAAAACGAAGACAATACGACGACGACGATAACGACGACGAAAACGACGATTGAACATATCTCCTTTTTTTCTTTACAAAAATATACCGTTTATTGCTCTAGCATCGATTTTATATTTTTCTATCTTTCGTTCTGACACATACGCCGTGCGTGTTCGTCGAAACAGGGTTGGTTGGTTGGTTGGTTGGTCGGTCGGTGCGAAGGAAAGGGAAAGAAATGATCATGGCGACCACCGTGCCGAACCACGCGCCATGTCGAGTTACTCCTGATGCACGTTTCGAAAGGGTATCCCATTGGTCCCTTTTACTTTACTCTCCTCTTTTCTTCCCATTTTTCATCAACACAAGTAATAAATCGTAGCCTCTTCTTCTTCTTTTTTACCTTCATTTAACTAATTTATTTAATTTTTTGAAAGAGAAAAAAAACAAATTTTCATTAGTCAACGTTACGTTTATCACTTACAAATAGTCAATTATTTAAATGCAAAATTCAATATATGTTAAACAAATACTAAAGAAAAACTTGAAATACGATTGGCCTGTCGAAATAATAAAGAAAACCTGTTTTATCACGACGCATGTATATTTTCTTATGTAGGTCATCATTTCGATCGAACTTTTATAGTATCATTAGACAAACTTAGGTTTCTTCAAATATATAAACAAAAAAAATTAGAACTTTATTTTTGTCACGATAAAATTATCTCGTTAAGATTTCTTTCACATTAAATTTCAATTTTGTTAGATTAACAAATTAGTGTGCTCCTAACGTGATTATTATTTGTCTATATCCATATTTTTTTTACCAAGCTTTACCCCTTCTTTCGAAAATTTTCTATGTCAAACTCCGCCCATTCAACCAATAACAGCTGTGAAATGACATCGAAAAACGGAATATATAGTTGTATCATAAGGGTTATTTAAATCGAAGTTTTTTAAATATCGATCATAGCTTTTTCTTTTCTCTTCTCCTCTCTCCTTTTATTTTCAGATGAAAATACCTTCTCTTCCGATTTGTTTTTTGGATTCTTATCGATCTATCGTAACGAGATAACGTTATGGACGAAACGTTCTCACTTTCAATGAAAGAGAGAAACTTCAATCGAATTAGATTAAGTGAAAATAGTTACGCGGGTTTGGTGTAAATATCCTTTATTTTTGTCTCTCTCTTTTTAAAAGAAACTTTCCTAAACGCGTAACACAACGCGCGCAAATCGTAATCTCTATGAGCGTACGCGCATGCACGAGCACATTTAACACACACGTAACAGTACATTCTCCTTTGGAGAATTTAAGGCAACGGTAAAAGTGAGGACGAAAGTTAGATTACTAGGTAATTGTGTCAGGGATATACATTTGTTCGAATTCTACCTATTATGAACTAATATGATTTCTATAAATAAATTTTATTAGCTCGTCATTATCGTTATCATCATCGTCATCTTTTGTTGGGTTCTCGTTAATTATAGTAGCTTTTTCGACAACATATGGAATATTTATGAATCGTTCCGGTGATCCATACTTTCAACTAGTCTATTTTTTCAGATTGTTGTTATCGTATCTTTCAACTTTACTTTTTGTTTACACGATATGTTTATAAATTTGTTCCCTCTCTCTCTCTCTCTCTCTCTCTCTCTCTCTCTCTCTCTCTCTCTCTCTCTCTCTCGTACTCCTGTTTGTTTTCATTTTTGGATTGATATTATATATCGACATTTTTCTTAAGATGAAAAATGCTTATTCCTTCAAACTAAAGGGATACTCAAAACGAAACTAAATTTAAATTATCGGGTCAGATCTTCAAGGCTAATTGTAAGTGTAGTATATATTGCGTCGAATTCTCTCTGCGTACGTGTACGTGGGTGAGGAATCATGACTATGAGAGATACACGTGTGTGTTGTCACTACTTTCTCAAACATTCCCTCTTACAATGTGTGTTGTATCAACGAAACGCGTGTGACAAGATACATACAAATAAAAATAAAATTGAAAGTGAGTTTGTTGGAGATTGAATCATCAAATCTTTTTACAAATGTTAATTGTAATCAAAAATATTTAATCGAATACATTTGAAATATGGTATTTAATTTTGGACTTCTATTGGAATAACAACAAATTGTTATTAACTATTTTGATGATTATTTATCTGTATTTAAGTTCACAAATAAAATCAAAATAACTTGTAAGATTATCAGAGCTGACGTGCGCGTAATCGAGCAAACAAAGATTGTAACCGGGTTGGTAACAAGTTCGAATAGCTTTTCGGTATCACATGGAAGACAAGAAGAAAAATAAGATTACATATCCCTTTCTCTCGATCGATCGCGATTATAAGAAGGAAACGGAACGATTTCGTATTAATCTTTTTGTTTTAACTACTACCGGCACCATCATTTCTGTCTTATTTCGTGTTAACATTTCTTGTCATTGGTGATAATGCGTAACGATAAGAATGTATTATTTACACTTTTCGTATCATTTCGGAAATGGTTGTTATTGCCGTCATTATCGTCGTTTTCGTCGATGCAACATTGTTTTCTGAGTATGCTGTACTGATTTACCGATGTTGCCACTCCCTCCCTAAAAAGAAAGAAAGAAAAGAATGAACGAAAATATGGCACCTTGAACAGTTAGGATGAATAAAGAAAAGACGAGACTACTGAGAGACGAGGACGCGACAAACGAGACACGTGACAAACGTACAAGAAATGCACACTCAAAGAAAGAGAACAAATTCGGTATCCGAAGGAAAACTACTTTTTCATACGTTTTTACGTTTACCAAGCTTAACGCAATTTTCGTATAGTGACGATGAGCAATGATCGGCACTGATTAACGATATCTTATTAATCTTGATTAATTCGTTTTGTCCTAAATTTTATCGATAATAACTAATCCTATCTATTTATTATTAGAGTAATACGAACGGTTACGTGATTGACTTACATTTTAGAATTTCAGATATTGAAGAAATCATTTTTGAGGTTATAGAGATATAACCTAACTTATTCACGAATTTATTTCGACGTTAATTCTCTTTTTCGTTCGATCAAATATATTTATATTTAGATTATGAAGATTTAATTTATTCATTTGTAAACTAAAGGAGGTATCAATTTCATTTATTTTATTGAACGCAAGTAAAGTATAAAAGACCGGCCGGCTTGATGCTTCATGTATGAGCATATTTATATGTAAATCAAATTGGCAAAGTCAGAATCGTCGGAATGTAGCAGCCTGCGTATACATTTATACATTTATAAAAAATAAAAAAATAAAACAAAAACAACGAAAGAAAAGAAAAAAAAGAAATTACAGACGTTATTTTAAGCCGTCTGTAAGTCGTCATATTATTCGCACATTGCACTCTGTTGTGGTTTTCATGCTTCCTATTTTTAGGTATCTGTTTTGCCGGTACGGATATGTTTTCTAGTTTTCTCTCTTTCTCTCTCTTTCTTGCTCACTCTTTCCTTCTGATTTTTTTTCTTTTTCTTAAGCTTAGAGAGCCGGTTTCGTTCCACGCGAGTCGAGAAAGATTCAGAATCAGTCGTGTATAGAACGAATACGTGTATTTTGGATTACACAGTGCAACATGTGCCTGTTATCCTTGATAAATTTCCTAAGACTTTTGAAAATCTTCCGAAACTTTGTTTTCTTTCTGTCTCTCTCTTCTCATATTTCTCAACAAGAAAATCATTCATTCAATCGAACGTTGTATCCATGTTGCACGCGTAAGCAACCGAACTATAGAATGTAAATACGATATTGATTATTTATGTATTATTTATATATTTTTATATCAATAATGCATTCACTTCTGTGAGACATTTCTTGACATACTTTTTCTTATTATTTTTTGTTATCAATTTTACGATGTCTCGGCCGAATAGGAATCTCGTTCTGTATAAAAAAATAAAAGTAGGATTTTTTTTTGCAAATAATTTTGGACCGCTTCTGTATTATTTAAGAAGTATTATTGGTTGGTTTCGAAAGAGAAAGAGATCATATACGCCCTCTTGTTGCACGTTCCCTGCAACATTGTGCGTCTGTTCGATTTGCGCATGATCTTCTTACGATACCTCAGAAATAAAAAGATGAAAGAAGTTTATCTTCAATCGAATTTAAAATTCTGTTTTGGAAAACCAATATTTATATTTTTTGCAACTTTCGATTTCTCTTAAATTTTTATTTACAAATCGTTTACTAGCTTGGAGAAATAGAGAAAGAAAGAAAAAGAGAAAGAGAGAGAGAGAGAGATAATAGATACCCTCCTGCTGCACGCGAGCTGCAACATTTAATTTGCGTCTCTTGGTTTGCGCATGATCTTCTTAAGATGCTTCAGAGACAAAAAGATAAAAACAAATTAATCTTCAGTCGAATATAAATTCTCGTTATGGAAAAAAATGTATTTTTTAATAATTTTTAAATAATTTTTTACTCTTTTTGAATTTTTTGTTCAAATAATTGGCTACCATGGAGAGAGAGAAGAAAGAGGAAGAGAGAGAGAGACGCCCTCTTGTGTGCATGCGCGCGCAATATTGTGCGTCGTGGGTCTGCGCATAAGCTTTTCTATACTGTACTGTTACTAACGTGTTTGGAGGAGTATTCTACGTGCGTGTTTGCATTCGCCGTACGTTTCCCTCGTGTGATAAATAACGCGGTAGCGTCTCTTGTCTGTATACACTGCCAGCTGGAAAAAGCGGCATTGCTGTAGTGTTAGAAAGAATCATTTAAATTTCTTTTTATAAAATAAAACGAGTAAAAAGACAAAATATTATTTGTTTATTTACTAATTTATCGAAATCGTTCATTCCGATTCTACAGTGCTAAGAAGAAGAGCATCGTGATTGCGGATACGCGATATTATGATCTACGAAATAATAAAGCATCAGTGTTCGTATCACAGGAGGATGCTAGTTTTCCGATTTTTGCGATATCAGATATTTGATAAACGTATGGTGAAAAATATTGTGTGATCAATGTAATGATTTTATTTATTATTTGAATATTATTATTGGATAAACGAGTGATTTTATATCATCATTTGTTACTTTTTACTATGTTGCAGAATAAGTATTAAAATAATCAGCAATATGTTCAGTTTTCATAAACCCAAAGTTTATCGATCCAGTACCGGATGTTGTATTTGCAAAGCTAAATCTAGCAGGTAATATTTTACTTTATATTTTAAATATTATTGTGGATGAATTAATTAATCAATTAATAAAAATTATTTTATTTTATTTTAGTTCAAGATTTACTGATAGCAAAAAATACGAAGAAGATTTTATAAAATGTTTTCAATTGGAAGAAAGGCGCACGGGGGAAATTTGTAATGCTTGTGTATTGTTAGTTAAGAGATGGAAAAAGTTACCAGCTGGAAGTAATCGCAACTGGAGACATGTTAGTTGCATTCTGATATTTTTTTTATAGAGAGTAATACATATTGCTATCATAATGATGAGTAAAATGATTAAAATTAATATCTTTATAGGTTGTAGATGCTCGTGCAGGGCCTGGAATTAAATCGTTGACTAAATTTAAATCCAAAAATAAAAAAAAACTTAAAGATGCGCCCGAGAAGTTTGAAAAAATCATGAAGAAGAAGAACAACATTTATTTGAAACCGGAGGTAGAACGTGAACAAAATATTTCAGTGATTGTTGATCTGGTTGGTGAGTTACAGAATGAAAATAACAAATTTTTTATCAAATATATGAATACATTATGAGAAATTATTTTATTATTTATTTTTATAGAAAATTATGTACCAGAAAATGATAGCAAGTGTTTCAGTAGTCACCAAGTCTATCCAACAGGTAGTCCTATTGACAGGGACGATATTCCTACAGTTGACAAATCATTAGACATTGCTGAAGAGGTTACCAATGCAAAAGATGATTTATCTCTTAATGGCTTTATTGATTTATCTTATTTCAAAAGGTATTAATTAACATATAGTTTTTAAATAAAAATATGACAATAATTGGATCAATTTAATAGATAATTTATATTCAATTACAGTTTTTCTATAAATGAGTGGTTTTATTTTAGGGAAGTTATTTGCTGCGGAACGATATTTAAAGGGCCATATGGAGAAGTTATAGTAGACCCATCATTAATAAAACCATGTACAGGTTGTCTGCCTAAACAAAGGCAGCAACAGTCAAATGTGCTAAGAAATAGTCCTGCGCATAGTTCTGCATCGGCAAGTCCTGCGCATAGTTCTGCATCGGCTAGTCCTACCCACAGCGTAGAATCAGGTCCAGATTCGACAGTGACCAAACAAACAAGTAAATATAGCGATTCGTCTTCTGATTCTGGATATGATGAGTCTTCTAATCAAGGGGTTGGTGAGGGTAAAATTACGAAAGTAATTATGAATGTTAATCCCAACCTTAAACCGATCGTTAAAACGCAACCAATAAAAAGTGTACAGTTAAAAGCTATCCCTGTCGTATCGGAATCTGTCAGGTTAAAGTCAGATGTGCCAATTAAATTGGTGCCTATTAAACAAATAGACCAACTCTCTTGCAAGCCATTATCTTTAGTATCATCAACCAATGTTACTTTAAGCGGTAGCTCACATACTATTGTTACTGTCCCTGCCAACCCACTTGTTGATTTTGCAATGCATGCGACTCCTTCTAGACAATCTGTTTCTAATTAATGTCAATTATCTTATAGCGGTTTAATTTATTATTTGTTTCTTTTTTTTCTTATGTAGGTAAAGATATATGTTATGAAACTAACAAACTTATTTTTAAACATGCTACCATCATTACCCAGACTACAAAGGCTATGGAAGGATGTATTTAGAACTTTGTATTTTAAATACGATTCAAGAGTTTATAATGTTATGAATGGGAATAACTGATTTCTTAATTAGGGTAATTGTTATAACGTGAATTAGATAAGTAGTGCTCTTAGAAGAAGAAAAAAAAAAAGAAAAGAAAAATTGTAAGAAGTTTTTACTCTTACTTGTTACAAGTTGTACAAATATTTGTAACTATCTATGATACCAATAACTTTATACGAATAACAATGTTGAAACTAAAATAACATTTTTGAAGTAGTTGTAAAAGAAAAAGAAAGAAAAAACAGAAAAAAAGGATAAGGAACAATCTAATAAGATTATAAAATTTATATCGACCATCGTTTGTAAAATACTTAGAGAGAGAGAGAGCATGTTATAAACTGCTATATCTTATAAATTGCTAACCTCTTAGAAATTCGATAAATTTTCTGAAAGGTTATCAATTTTTCCTTCAAATATAATATAAGCTGTATGCGTTTAATTATCATTATAAAAATAATATTGTAAGGATATATAAGTATTGACTCAGTGAGAAAGCAGATGGCAGTTTATTACATCTCTGGTCTGAATGCATTTATAAGAGTACTATTAAATAATATTCAAAGTTTATCCATCCACAGCTTCAGTTTTCTGGGTGAATCTTTGCAATCGTATATGCGAATATTTTATGTGGATGTTCCAAAATGCCAATTTTTAAATGTTCGGGTCCAAAAATTCTGAGAAAAGAGAATCATTTGTATTTAACTAGGATCTAATGTTGACATACATTATTGTACCAGATGCATTTGAAAAAAAAAATAACTATCTGCGCAAAATTCCATGACGTTAAAATTAAGGAATCCAATGATGTGTTCAGGAATTATTATCCTGATCCACTTAGAGCAATAATATACAAATTAATTTCTTAATAAAAATAATTTAAACTTTGATAAAATTAATCATATCACTATGATTATATATTTAGGCAGTATTACTAGGAAGGCAAATTGATGATTAAGAATATGATGTAATCAAATTGGCAAACTGGACCAGCAAATTTAATTAAGATATTTTATGAGACAACTAAGGAAGCACTCGTAATAAAAATGGGCTGAAGTCTCAGTTATTTGATACGAAATTTAAGGATAATGGTAAATAAGTAAAGGCTGGTAGTTCCTAGAATTCAGAAATGGACACGTTACAGAAAGATAACACACAAACTAATGTACCTGTTGAGAACAGATTATTGTGATTATTCTCCAGATCTTATTTGAATCATACACATGTTTCATGCACAAAAAAACATTTTCTAATAAGAGTTATATATTTTATTAGGAAAGTCCATGTACGATCGCAAAAGGCTTTCTTATTTCATTGTGATTTTTTTTTCTTCTTTTTTTTTAATTCATTTTCAATTTTTAATCAAAAACATACTAAAAACAAAAATGTATCTCTCAGTCTATGGAATTTTTATTCAAGATAGCAGTGCATTTTATAATACAGACATTAATTTCTTTTCTATTTCCAGAAATATTTTTAATTAACTTTAAAGCTTCATGAACCAAGAGCCAAATCTTTTATAAATACAATATACATTGTTAATTCCGTTTAGATTTTTAAGCGTATTATTCAATTTTAATACAACTGGTTAATCTGATAACAATCATTCAAAATCTAAATGAAGTTTTTCAAATTTGTGATCTACTATCATATTCAAAGTCCATTTGATGAAAAATGAAAAACATATATTTTAACTCTTTTCCATCAAAGGAAAAAGGTCTGTTGTTAAGCAAACAAATCCTACCCAACTTGTCCTATTCTATTGCATTTAGTCACATTCTTATACGATACACATATGAAATATAAAAGTAAAATAAAAATCGCAGATTAAATAATTTTTTCTAAAAAGATACTTATTCTTATAATTCATGAAACAGAAAAGAGTTAAAATATAAAGTTTTGTATACTATTATGCACTGCCAGTCTGGCTTAAGTGGATTTCTAATGAGTAAAGAAATTTGATTATTTGTATGAAGGTGATGAATATTGAATATATGTAGATTTGTTAAAGGACGACGTTATTAATAATCACCTTGTCCTTTGACAAATTTTCATTCTACATTTCTATTGACTATGAGAGTCTATGATCTCTTTATTGTGAATATTATTTTCTTTTGTAACTAACACTATGTAATTTACAATTTATATTAGCAAAAAGGACGGATCATATTAATTTTAACCCTTTGCACTCCATCGGCTCTACTGCGTAGAAAACTGAATTTTTTTTTTAACACTTGTCACTTCTATAATTTTAAATGTTAATTATAGACAATAGTAAAAAAAAAAAAAATGTGCTGAGTGCAAAGGATTAAATAAAATAAAATAAAAAAGAAACTTAATATCAGAATTACGACTGTTATTATTTATTTATGATAATCTGTTGTAATTGTAATATAAGTATTCTATAAAAAATATTAATTATGATTAGAGATTTATGTATAAATTATTTATCGAATCTTGAATTTTGTGCAATGATCCTTCCTTATAGAGAAATATAAATAATTGTTTAATTTATTTATATTTTAAATTAAAATTAATTTGCAATATAATATTCCTTGCTATGCGAAATTATATATATATATACATATATATATATTTTTTTATACAGATTATCTTTGCTTTTTATTCAACATTTTTCATGTATGTGTATATTGTTATAGAAAAGCAACAAACATTAAGAATCATATTTTCCAGGTCCATTCAGTTCGCAATATTCTAGGAATTATTTATTTTTTGATTATTATGTAAATGTGAAATCAATTATTCATTACTATTTTGTAAGAAAACTGTACATACATACATATATATGTATGTATGTATGTATGTATTATATATATTATATATTTATGTATATAAGGAGAAAGAATCATGAATTAATGGATACCAGAATAGTTAGATGGAATAGCAGGTATTCTACAAAAATACGATTGAGTGATACTTATGGTATAGAAAAATATTTAAAAGAGTGTTTTTGAAAAAAGAAAAAATAATGTTAAACCAAAAGTTTATCGATAAACATTATTGCAGGATTTAAAAAAGTAAATTTAATGTGCAGCTTACTATTACTATTGTCATATATATATATATATAATAAAATTTCTCATAATATGAAACAAAAAAATCAATTAGATACGTATTACGCGGTATACATACTTTATTACAATTTTATTAACGTCAAAGTAACGAATTAAACTTTGATATACAAATTTCCTTAGAACAATCTACTATGAAACAGGACAGAAGACAAGGTTGTGCTTATATAATATAATATTAAGTCTTAAGATTTAATCAGGTATTTATATTATCATTATGTCAAAGAAATGCGTGTGGATTTTTATTCTAATTAATCGAAACCAACGTTTATATTATAATTAAGATTAAATATATATATATATATATATATATAAAGAAACAGCAATATGATTTATATTAATGATATTGATAGTATAATAATTGATTTTGGCAAATTATTCTGAACAGAAAAATCCTTTATCATATTTTTCATGTTGTTTGTAGCCATTTGACAAATTGTCTATGAACATGACTGATGTAAGGAGTTCAAATATTCTTTCTCATGGTCTGACCTGGCAGATTCCAAAACGAGTACCTTTTGTCGAGAATCATGCAAGATTTGAACATTTTAAAAAATTAAACTACCCTATTATTATCAGGTTTCTAAAATTTTCAAAAATACAAGGGATTTTGATAACAAATTTTTGAAAGATAATTAATAATCTTATATATATATATATAGGATTACACAATTTACATATATATATGATAAAAATCTCTAATAGACTGATAGTTTAGAAACCTGATTTAAAATAATATTAATATTAATAATCAAATAATAATAATATGTAAAAAAGATTGAACGTAAATCTTGCAAGTTTCTACTATGAAATCAATTACCCCTAATTTATTGCAATGGCATTAAATATAACATTTACTTAGAATAACGTGGTGCAACTAGAAGCATACAAAATTTTTCTCTATACTTGCTTATAAATTTATACATATATGTATATATATACATACATATATAAACGTTCGTCCTTCTAATTCTTGTTTTTAACACGTTAAACGTCAAGCCTCTTTTGTTGAGCTTTCCATTTAAATGAAACAAGAATATCTGTCATTGGTAATCAACTTTGTCTGGACATAAAATTTAAAGCCAATTCATAAAAACCAGCATAGTGTTTAATGTGTTAAATAAACAAGTATTTTATAATATGCATTTGTTTTATAAACGAATTGTCTTTTATATTAGTCACAGAAGTGAATCTATAGAATGTTTTCAATAAATTATGGCAGGGATGAATATGTATGTAAATATATGCTAGGAGGCATTCGATCTCGCAACAAGATGTTCTAGTTATACAATGACTTTTTCATCATTGTGCCAGTTTTTAACATCAGATATAACATCAATATTAAGTACGATTCTGAGACTGATCGATGTATTTAGCAGATAACTCTAATTTACACTAAACTGTTAGATATAGGTGAAATATTGTAACATTTATCCATATTATCATATGAAATTCTAATAATAACAGATAATGACTGCCGTATTTAATATTCCATGATTACAATTATTATTCTGTTTGTACAATGATTATTATATATTTATGTGTCTATATATGTATGTATACATATATGTATATACGCGCATAAATAGTATGTAATTAATCAATTGATTCCAATCATAAAAAGCACCTTTGCAATTACCACTAAAATTGGTATTATGACAAAAAAAAAATGTATATAATTGAAAAGATTATAATTATATATATATATACAGATATTTAGAACATGTATAAAATTATAATAAAAAGATTATTTGTAAAAATTCATCGATCACACAAATTAGAATAATAATAATATAATAATAATAATAATAATATAATTAATTCAAAATAACATTATGCCGATATGCTTTGTCGACATATATTACCCAAACTCAAATTTGTGTCAATTAGTCTGATTGCAAGAGGATTTAAATCTTAAGAAATATATTCTTAGTATTGTAGATAATTTCGTAGATAAATAAGTAAATATTTTGTTTTTTAAACGAAATCGACAAATCAGTAAGTTTCTTATTAAAGTAATAAATTTATATTATACATAGATAAATATATACATATATGTATGTATATATATAAATACAAGGTATCTTGTAAGTGGTTGTACAAGAGAACAATGAGTAATTCTACATATAAAATTAAGTTGAAATGTAGAATACAATTTATTCTTATAAAGTATTTCTTTTTTTTTGAGAAAAATAAGTTTAAAAATTAGTCTATAGCATGCATTTGATGGAACTTGTTAATTATAATCAAGTATAAACTTGAAAATTAAAAGCCTTGTTCGATTGGTATAAAAGTACAACTATTTTTTAGAAATTTATTTTTCTCAAAAACAAAAAAAAAGCTTTATATGAATAAATTTTATTCTACATATTGGAGATTAAGTTTTTTATGTAGAATCACCTCCTACTTGCTTGTATCACCAGTTACAGGAAATCCGGTATATATACATATATATATATATATATATTTAAAAAAGTCTGTGAGATACCAAATTTCATAGCTGAATAAATAAAATATATGTTGTGCATACAAATATACATACATTTGTATAAAAAATATATAAAAAGAGAGAGAAAGAAAAAAAACATATTTATAATTTTTATAAAATTTTTCATCTCTCTTGATATATCGTATAATTATCATGAAAAATATTAGTTTACTTTGTGTATACGTGTATGCAAGATTAAATGAAACACACGCACATATGAGTAATTATTATTTAAATTCTTGTTATGAAATAATTATTAATTATAATAATCCATAATATTATTATAAAAAATGAGTATAACTCTATCTATATTTATCCATTATTGTCTCAATATTAGCAAACAATAATGAAGATAAAATATTTTATATAATGTGGTAAAACAAAATGATAAATTAGATAATTTTAAAGATGCAATACTGTGTTAATAGAATAATTATTTTACATATTACAAGTAAATACAAATGTATATACTTTAAATATGTAACTTCTTAGGAAAAAAAAGATATAATACGTGCAACAACATTCGTGAAATATATAACATTTAAGGATGACTATTTTATAATTTTATAAATAATGAATAATCGTGATATAATGATTATTGAAGAATTTATTCGAAACACGTATTATATTATTTCTATTTAAATGAATTCGTTCGGTTATATTTAGTAATCGTATATAAACCGTGTTTGAATTTTACATTCCGCCATTATCCGTAGATGGCATCACGATCGTGTTATTGCAAGCTTGCGCATACTATGTATTTAGATGCAAGTGTAACAAGGAACACTGCTAACAAAGATTTTGTATTACTTTATATGGCCTTTTTTTCTAAATAAGAATACGATAATGATTGACAGAATAAAGGTCAGTCTTTGAATTTAAATCGATTTTTTATTCGTGTATTTCATGTTTATTGTTTTATTGAAAAATCTATTGTTTATATCTAACATTAACGCATAGTATTTTCAAACAAAATGAAAATCATAACACAAATATAAAAATATTCTTTTGCTTTCTTTTTATTTTTTTTCTGTTAAATCAAAGTGATCTTTGAACGCTAGAAACATATTATTACCATTGTAATTAAAATACGATGAATCGTGTGAGACCAAGATTAATAACTTTCGATGTTACCGGAACATTGTTAATGACAAAGTTAAAAGAACATTATACCGAGATTGGATGTAAATATGGTTTATCAATCGAGCCGCATCAATTGGCGCGAAGTTTTGAAACTAATTTCCGACAGCTCGCTATCGAACATCCAATATATGGAAAATATACTGGACTTGGATGGGAAAATTGGTGGAAAACGATTGTTCATAATGTATTCAAAGAACAAAATAAAAACATTCCTGATGCGACTCTTGATAAGGTAAACATTTAACGTTTAGAATACGTAATATATATTTTTAAATTGTTATATTTATAAAAAAAGCAATTTCAATGACTGTTAAAAAGAGATGTAAAAAAACAAGGTTTAGCGATTTTATATGATCGGTACATTGAAAAAGAGAATGCACGTAATAATTCGATGTTGATTGAAAATATGTTTCATTAATATTTTATTATTAATTTTCATATAATTTTCTCATTATCATTTTCTTTGTTTCTTTGTAATAATAAAAACTAAAAGTAGAACTCTCATCATTATCAATACATAAATAAAAAAAACAATTTATTTTATTTGAAATAGAGATTATTTTAACGCGATATCAATTACCAAGATGATCGCTTATGACCGATGTTTTTTCTCTCGGTGGGGCCTTAGGGGGGTCGTTCTTGACCACCATTTATTTTATATCGTCTTATATCTTATCTTAGAATAATAAATCTTAGCTATAAAACACGTAAAACGTGCGTGACAATCGACGATTTAAATGTGATGCATTATATTAATAATAATCATTATTATAAAAGACTTGTTATAGATAATATTATTTACGACTCTTAGGTTGCTAGTGCCCTGATAAAATGCTACAGCACAAGTAAGTGTTGGCATACATATCCAGGGACAATCGAATTGCTCGAATATCTTCATAAACACAGAATAGTATTAGGAGTGATATCCAATTTTGATGTAAGATTGGAAACTATTTTGATCGATCTCAAGATCAGATCATATTTTTCCTTCGTATTGACATCGTATAATTTCGGTAAAGAAAAGCCAGATAAATCTATATTCATCGAAGCTTTAAGATTATCAAATAAAGATCAACAAGTACATATTGTACCTCGACAAGCAATACATATTGGCGATACCATAGATAATGATTACTTTGGTGCAAAGAATGCACAATGGAATGCTCTTTTGATCAATCACAGAAATAAATCTATTCACGAGAAGAATGTTTGTAAAGATGATATTTTTATAAATCTTCTAGATCTACAAAGGCATTTTGAAACGCTGTTAAAATAAAACAAATTAAATATAACGTTAGTATTATTATTCGTTGTTTCAAGATAATATTTTCAATAGTAGATTTATCATAAGTTGCAAAATTGATTGTTTCTTTTCTAATAATATTATTGTCATAACTATTTAAGTATTATAGTAATAGCAATTAAAACATTGTGTTTAATAACTTTGCGGTATAATTAATCCTTTGAATATTATGGACGCATATATACGTCCAGCAATAAAAACTTTAAGATACGATTAGATATTAATATGTTAATAATATATTATTATTAGATATATGTTAATTACGTGCAAAAATGTTTTCAATTTCTTTATACAATTTATTTCTTGTTAAATTTAAAGAAAATATATATAGATGTATATACAAACATATATACTTTTCAAATAAATTGCAAATATGTATTTTCATTTTATTTTCACTCAAATACCTTGAAAATTGATCATGCAACTAGTAGATAGATCGTATATTAAATATCCAACATTTTATTTATATCCAACATCTTATAAAAATATATAAAATAACTTTAACAAATATTAGATAAATTCTTATATTTGATTATTTTAATTATTTGTTATTTAATTATCAATAGATGAAAAAATGTATTCACATCATGTTTATTCTTCAAAGCCTTGATTGCATACCACCACTAGCTACAATTGTTTCCCCAGTAATATACGACGCATCTTCACTTGCTAAAAAGGCAGCAACACCACTAATCTCATCTGGCTTTCCAAATCTTTTAAATGGAATCATGCTCAAAGATATTTGACGTGCTGTTTCAGATTGGTACAACTATAAAGCAATAAAGATATGAAATTTATTTCCATCATTATTGAATAGTAAAAATAAATAAACATACCGGCTGTGAAAATTTGGTTTCAATAATACCAGGTGCTATACAATTGACTCGAATTCCATATGAAGCTAAATTAGTTGCTGAAGCTTTACAAAGCCCTAATAATGCTGTTTTGCTAACCGAATAAACTCCAAGCAACTGAAATGATATAAAACAGAATATTTATAATGATTTAACTAATATAATTAAATCATATTCTATATTAATTTCAAAAACTATAACTATGTGCGAGACTTGTGATATGCTTTACGGATCAAACATAAGAAGCACCAATTTTACTTACAAATATGGCACGCAGTTTAACGTGTTAAATCATAATGTACAGGGATCATTTATAAATAATAATAATAATAATAATAATAAAACTTTAAATACATAAAAATAATTACATCGAATGGTTGATATCCAGCTATCGACGATACAATAATTATCGATGGTGATTTACTATCCTTTAAAAGAGGTAAAGATTCTTTCATAAGTAAATACGTGGATTTAACATTAACATCAAATATTTTATCCCAGACATTCTCGTCGCTGTCTAGAACTGGTCCAGCTTGTGGATTCGCTGCTGCATTAGAAACCAAAATATCCAGACCTCCAAACAAGGATTTTGTCTAAAATAATGTTATTTATTCTCAATAATCTTATGTAAAGAATATATTTTACATGTAAGTTTTTATTTTTATTTACTTCTTTGAATAATTTTTGTCTATGTTCGGCTTTTCCAACATGACAAACGGTACCAGCAACGGATAAACCTTCTTGAAGTAATTCATTCACAGCTTTGTTAACGTTGGATTCTTTTCTGCTACTGATCATAACTTTTGCACCTTCCTGAGCTAAACGTTTTGCTATAGAATATCCTATCCTATAAAAAAAATTGACTTTATAATCCTGAATATTTTATTTTTCAATTACAATGTTATAAACAATATCTTTAATGCAATTTAAATGACATCGAACGATGAATATATTGCTAACAAATATTTTGGTATTTGAAGTTTACATAGATACATAAATTATTAAATTATTTATACGAAATAAATGAAATAATTAATCACCCTTCCGTAGATGCAGTAACGATTGCAACTTTGCCTTCCAGACGTCTGCATTTTATTTGTGTGTTGACACTAAAATTTCGTAGATTTTGACTTGCAGCTGTGCGCAACATTTTAAACACGTTTGAAATCACGATTCTGTGTTGTAAAAACTTCTACTCAGACTTTGACCGATATAATCACTCAAATGACTCTTCACTATTATACGTTTATTAGATAATTATAATATCATTAACATGTGTTATAGTCATATACTTTGAACGAAAAAAAAGAGGAAATAAATAAAATAGTTAAGTAACTAATGGCTTATAAGTTACATATGATCTGCACTCCAACTTATATGCTTTAATAAATTGGGGAAAAAGAATTCCCTTATCTTATTTTTTTATATAACATTTGCTTTTCATTATAAGTATCAAATAATAGTCAATGCATTTAAGTAATTAGTAAATATATTGATTGATGGTGGGGATCTTATAGCTGGCGATGGGAAAATTAATTACCTATGTATAGTAAAATGTGTAATCTTAATTATAATTTGTTGTAATTAATTCATTGCTTTTGGTAAAGACTTAATTCTCTTATCATGTAGTTATTTGAATAAAATGATAAATATCATAAATATCTTCGCAATAATTTAACAAAAATAGAATCAAGATACAACGTATTTTCATTGGTGAGATAACAGAATCTATTTTAGCGCGCGATATTTGAACGTTGAAATGTTAATATCTTACCGATGATTATTTATCGAGGATTATTACAGTATTTTTTTTAGAAAAATGTTTATAGAAGAATATTTGGGAATAATAATGATACAAGATAATGATTTATATATTGAATAATTTTTAACAATTTATTAACTGTTTTAACCTTTCGCAGTCAAGGCGTTTTTTTACTGATGATTAAAACATTAATTTATAAAAAATTCATATATTATTGAAAAATATATTTTATAAAATAATGCTTTATAAGTATATAGTATTAGGATAAACCTTTATAACAAAGAAAGCTCGACAGTCCCTACCAAAAAAAGTATAATTATTTTAATGATCAAAACTTGGTGAAAATTTTAATGCTCGGGTAAACAGAATCATTAAAAAGAAAAAAACATTTCTTGAAATAATAACATTTATCTTTTATTGTTACGTTAATTCTCCGCAAGCTGATATGACAACTTTTTGAGTCGTGGTGCCAGATTGTGTCCCATATTTTTCCATTTTTTTTAAAACATCTAAACCACTAAGGACATGACCGAAAACTACATGTTTCCCATCTAACCAATCTGTGCGTGCCGTACAAAGGAAAAATTGTGATCCATTTGAATTTGGTCCTGAATTTGCCATTGACAAAGTACCTGGTCCTGTGTGTTTCAATTCAAAGTTTTCATCCTCAAACTTGTTTCCATAAATTGATTTTCCACCAGTTCCATCATGGTTTGTAAAGTCTCCTCCTTGACACATCTACCATGCAATTCATTAAGGACCAATGCATTTTTACATTAATCAAAATTATGTAATTTTTAAAAGTTAAAAAAGTAAAAGGATACAAAATCTGGAATAATCCTGTGAAAAATACTGCCTTGATATCCGTAACCTTTCTCATGAGTACAAAGCGCACGAAAATTTTCAGCAGTTTTTGGTACGATATCTGCCCTTAGCATCATAATAATTCTACCCAATTCCTGCTTTCCAATGTTGATATCAAAATAAACTTGGGGGTTTTTCTTAGTCTTTTTAGATTGAGATGTATCATCCGTCTTAGAGTTGTCATCGGTTTTAAGCGTTTCGCCTGCATGTTCTTGCAGCCAAGTGTCATCTGCCCATACTGGTTTTGATGAGCCTTCCTTTATCTTTTGAGGCTTAGCAATATTTACTCTTATCGTTCGTCCAAATAATTCGGAATCATTCTGTTAATCAATGTTGATAAATTACAATAGTATCAATTGTTCTTATATTATTAGATCAATATCTTATCGGTAAACACAACAATATATTAATAATGCATATTTATAAATTTATTTTTATTTCATATCCAAAAGACAAAATTAAATATAAAAAATACAATTCTACAGTAATTACTAAACTTACCATATTATCTATTGCAGCAGCTGCATCTTCAGCAGTTTCAAATTCAATAAATGCAAATCCCCTATGTTTTTCAGATTCATAATCTAATGGTATTTGTACATCAATAATTTCACCAAATGGTATAAAAGCAGCATGTAATACCTTTTCATCTACTTCTTCTGCTAAACCACCTATATAAGATAAGAATGTATATAGTTATATAAAAATTATCAACAAATAAAATCATTTTGATTACAAATGTCCAAAGAGGTTAGTCAAGTTGTTATCGGATATACATATATATTTATCTTTTTACGTTATTATCATTGAATGAATATATTTAGCAATTATTAACCTACCAACGTAGATAGTTCTCTTTGTATTGCTACTCATACTTTTTGTGGTCTTTCATATGTTTTTTCACTTCTTTTATATATGACTTAACCAAACAAACACGTCTCGACACCGGCTTTATTATTGACTAAAAAACAACAATTGTCAGCGACACCATCGCCATTATCTCAAAATGGGGATGAAAAAGGATTAATATCAAAGTACTTTGAGAGAGCCACGTTGCGTTATATAAGATCAATTTATCACGTTAATGTTCGCAATTGATATAGGAAGTTCAAACGTTGATGTAGTCTTTCGGCTTTGTTAACCTCGTATAGAAACAATTGTTTAGAAAAGATTACCTTATTGATATATTACTAAAGTTTAAACGTGACTTATTATCAAGTGTTTATTGATCTAAACTTACAGGTAAATAATATTGATAATAAATTATTTATAAACATTTTATAATATTGTTTAAATATGTACATTTATAAATTTTGTTAAATAATTGTTTCATCAATGTATTAACATTTATAAAACTTTTTGTTGTTGACAGATTTTTATTATTATTTTTTAGACAGATTAAAATGCTTTCATTAAGAGGAATAAAACTGAATGTAAGTGTTGCTAACCGTGGATTACATTTATTGAGAGACCAGGCTTATGTCGATGGAAAGTGGTTAAAAGCAAAGAGTTGTCAGACATTTCCAGTTTTAAATCCAGTCGACAAATGCGTCATTACAAATGTCCCTGATATGAATCAAGATGATACTCAAATAGCTATCGATGCTGCATCTAAGGCATTTGAGACATTTAAATCAACGACAGCAAAGGAGAGAAGTGATTTGTTAAGAAATTGGTATAATCTTATGGTTAAACATTCTGAAGATTTGGCACAAATTTTAACCAAGGAAAATGGTAAATCGTTGGCTGAATCTAGGGCAGAAATTAAATATGGAAATTCTTTTATTGAATGGTTTTCTGAACAAGCAAGGCGCATTAATGGTGAAGTCCTTCAAGCTCCCATTCATAACAGGGAATTGCTTTTATTGAAACAACCGGTCGGAGTATCTGCTTTAATCACGCCATGGAATTTTCCTCATGCAATGATCACTCGAAAAGCAGGTGCTGCTCTCGCAGCTGGATGTACCTGCGTCGTTAAACCATCTGAGGATACACCGCTCACTGCATTAGCATTAGCCGATCTCGCAGAAAAAGCAGGCTTTCCTACTGGTACTTTTAACGTATTAACAACAAGTATTAAAAATTCTGCTGCAGTTGGTAAAGAACTTTGCGATAATCCTATAGTGAGAGTCGTGTCATTTACTGGTTCTACTGCCGTTGGAAAGATTTTGTATCAACAGTGCGCAGGAACCATGAAACGCCTTAGTCTTGAACTTGGAGGTAATGCACCATATATCGTTTTCAATTCTGCTGATTTGGATGCTGCCGTTACTGGGGCAATGGCAAGCAAGTTTCGTAATACAGGCCAAACTTGTGTTTCTGCAAATAGATTTTTTGTACAAGCAGAAGTATTTGATAAGTTTGTTGAAAAATATTTAGTTAAAATTAACAGTGAAATTAAAATGGGCGATGGTAGCAAAGTGGGTATCACTCATGGACCTCTTATCAAAGATAGCCAATTGAAAATGATTGATGATTTGGTTCAAGATGCAATTTGCAAGGGAGCAAAAGTACATTGTGGTGGAAAACCATTACCTGAGCTGGGTCCATTATTTTATGCTCCTACGTTACTCACAGACGTTACTAAAGATATGAAAATATATAATAAAGAAATATTTGGTCCTGTTGCTGTTATTAATAAATTTCATAAAGAGGAAGACGTTTTGAAGGAAGCTAACAATACTCCCGTGGGATTAGCTGGATATTTTTATTCGCAAGATATATCCCAGATATTCAGAGTAGCAAGGAAGATGGAAGTTGGTATGGTGGGAGTGAATGAAGGATTAATATCATGTGCTGAGGCTGCATTTGGGGGCGTAAAGGAATCAGGATTGGGAAGAGAAGGATCTAGTCATGGCATAGATGATTTTGTTGATATTAAATACGTGTGTATAGGAAACTTAAGGCATTAATTATCAAGTAGTTAAAATTAAGCAGATATAATTGGTAATCTGAAACAAAATCCGAAGTACAATTCTAAATATATATCTTGAGGGCTTCCATTAAAATATTCAAAGTATTATTAGTTTTAAGGTAATATATACTTTTATAGGGAGAGTAAACAAGTAATCATTGTATAGATTCAAATTATATTATTTTATAATATATTATTATTTTATTATTTTTAATATCAATAGTAAATATAATGATAGATTATATTAATTCTTTTTTTTTTTTATCTAAGATAACTCATATGTATTCAAACACTAATGATAGGGTTATACAATATTGTGATTTATATTTATTTAACATAATATGTCTAATTAGTACATTATTTCTTTTAATTAATCAAACGAGCGATGTGATATCTTCCACGCAACTTGATTTCGATTTAATAGTTTATATACAATCCTAATGTTTGTTATTTGTAACGAAATATTTTAAAACTATTTCTTACGTTATTATTATTATTATTATTATTATTATATATACATATATATTAAATATTTAAATAGTAAACGGAGAACAATAAATTCTATTAATGATAAATGAATGATGATATAATGATTTCTAGATAAGAGCATGTAAATGAATAAATATATGTATATGGATATACATACAAAGTAATTGACGGTATAAGTAAGCAGATGGTGATTCTATATGAGAAATTAAGTCGAAAATGTAGAATAACATTTGTTAGGTTTATATAATATATATATATATATATATATAAGGTTTTGTTTATTTTACAATTGTAACTTAATTTTTTATGTAGAATCACAAAATTTCTCTTCAGTTATCAGTAAAAATTTTCTTTCTCTAAAAACTTCTTAATGTTCATACTTGTTATTTTGAATAATGTCAATTTTTCACAAATTTGTCACTCGATGCATTTTTTTCTACCGATATTATTATCGAAGCTTCGGACAAAACTCCAATAACTTTCGGTATCACAATTTGCAAGAATCAAACGAATGACATGGACTTTGTTCGCTATAACTTAGCCATTTCCACTGTCGGACTTGTTGTTTTTTGCGACCTCATGCTGGATCTATGAATTAGTTTACTTCGCATCACTTCGCCACGAAGGGATGCTCTCATTGAAATCCTCGTGCTAGTTCTGCTGAATGATCGGAATATTTCTGGTGCTGGGGGTTCTTTTTCTTTCGATTTCCTGGATTAAGAAGAAAAAAGAAAAAAAATGAATAACAATTAGTAACATTAGGTTGAATATTTGTGTATACTAACTTTGAGAAGCAGGGTACATCCCACATTTTTTGATTCAAACCGAAGTTCTCCCCATCCTCCAAAGTTTGCGGCAAATCCTTGTCTAACGTTTCTGGTAGGAAAAGAGTTAAGAGACCACCTAAAATTCCAAAGATACCTAAAAGTAACAATGGAAGGATCGAAGAAATGATATTCAAATAAACTACGAAGGGTGCTAAAATGCTGGCGACGTATCCCATTATGTGAATCAGTGCAACTCCTTGAGCACGTACTACGGTTGGTAAAACTTCAGCTGCGTATTGCAAACCTATATTGTAGGAAATGTTTACCCAAAATCTACCACATATAGCAAGAGTGGCGGAATAAATATCTGTAAGGAAAAAGTAAAAGGAAAAGTAATCGGTAGTTGGTAAAATGTAAAAATGAATATTCCTAAAGGATAACTTACTGTTTGAAATAGCGCAAGCCCAGATACTGAAGATTCCAGATATCACCATTGAACCACATGCTAACCATCTTCTACCCCATCTGTCAAGGACGAGTGTCAAGAATGTGTCAGCTGGTAATTCGGTAGCTGCAGCAACGGTGAACGTGACGAAAACGTTTAGACCAAGATTGTCAACGTTCCTCACATGACCATCGAACACCAGAGAGATCGCCATCCTTTGATCAAAGATTCGATAAATATAACGTCATTTTATATACAATTCGTCGATCGAAGAATTCTGTAATTATCCAAAGATTGTTCAAAAATACATATGTGAATTTCGAAGTTTTTCCTTGAATTATTTAAAAAATGATTTTCTTTGAGAATCGAAGTTTAATCGTTTTAAATAAATTTGAAAATTTTGTTCAATGATCTTACCAAATTATTATGAATAAGATCGTAATCTTACGTAGCCGTGGACTTTTAAACAAATCTAAGACGGAATAAGATTTGTCGGCTTCTTCTTCTTTATGCAATTTAGCACAGGTTTCCTATAAGTGGTGATAAGACATATAAGAAAACGCATTTAAATTCGTCAAGAAATATCCAATTTAAAATAAAATAAAAATCCTACTTGAAATTGCTTGTAAATGTCATCAGGAACCTTGGTACCATTGATCCGTTCGAACTTTCTCAATATCCCTATGGCTTGATCTACACGTCCTTGACTGACCAACCACCTTGCACTTTCCGGTATTAACCAAGGTGACAATATAGCTAAAATTAAGGGAACGGACGTTGCCAAGCAGGTCATTCTCCAGTCGGCCAAAAAGTAAGCAATCCAAGGTAAAACACAAGAGGCGAAGGTGAAGAAAATTGCTATCGACATGTTCGCTACGAATGTACGCCATTTTGGTCCGACGTATTCCAAAACTACACGAAAAATAAAAAATGATCAGTACATATAAAAAATTAAACATAAGACACACTAAATAAAGCCATTAGAAGTGAAACTTCCTTATGAAATTCTTATTAAAAATTATGTAGTCGATAATATGATATGAACTACTCCCTCTTTAAAATGATCACATTTTGCGTTATATTTTTATGGCTAGAGTTGTTCACATAACGTTCTTATTTTAGTCATAACCTTGAAAAATTAACTTACAACGCGATCAAAAAAGTTTCACTTCAATAATTATGTGTGATTTTCTTTTTAGATAATTATAATTACCTAATATATACATCATAGTAAAACAATTGTCGAAAGCAAAACCAAAGAAGAAACGGCAAGCGGCAAATTCCCAGAAACTTCCTGCAAAAATCGTAGCTACTCCTGATAAAAATCCAATGATGTTTGCTCCAACCAATGCTGGTACTCGACCATATTTATCAGCGATCCATCCAAATATCAATCCACCAAAAATGGCGCCAACGAAGAAGATACTCTGAGCTGTACTTGGTAAAGCACTATCGTCACAAACCCATTCAAACTGTGATCAAAAAATTAATATTACAAATTACAGGCTGGATATAATAACAATTTTTATATTTTTAATTATATAGTGGAGTGAGACAAAAAAGTATTTTATAAATTGTTTCGCAAATATCTCATTCAACATATACAATTGCAACAAAAATTAGCATATACAATTTATATATAATTATATTGCATTCAGTATAATTTATAAAATAAAAGATTAACAATATAACGCAAAGATACAATATTTGCATAATGCAAAATTTCAAGAAATAATTTATACACTAATACGTGGAAGTTCAAAAAATTTGCTATTTTTATATAGGAAATTATTATTATATAGACAACGATCATTTTATAATAGATTGAGAATTAATCTTTCCTAAACCTTTTTGATTTCTCAAAGAAATTTTACAAGGGCAATGGCAGATATAATATGATATGCCCTTGATTGTATTAATAATGTTCCTTGAATGACTATAACTTTCTAAATGCTTCCCGTATATTGAAGGGCAAATGAAAAAAAAAAGGAAAAAGAAAGAAAAATATTGCTAGTATCGATCTACGTCAGTCTTTCAGTTTCATATCTATTGAAATATCTAACCTCGGTTGCTATAGTTGAATAAGGAATCTCCGTGTAGTTGAATTCCCAACCGTGCTGACACTTTTTTATTGACCACGTTGGATCGTTGACCTTTATACCCTTTGACAGAATCTCAGTGTAATTAGCATCGTACATGGTACACTTTGAATAACCTTCCTTTCCAATTGGTATTGCTAATGCGACTCTGAAAAATTTTTAATTCATTTTTATTTTAATTCATTTAATATGAAGTACAGAAAATTATTTTACAATGTAGCTATAATTAGTAATATGCTATATAATAACCGTGTTATGAGAAACTGCAAAATTTATTTATCTTTGATTTTATATCGAAATGATCATAATTAAGCATTGCTCATTAAATCAATTATTGCATTACAGTATATATATAGATATCTTTTTTATTTTACGTACATTATTAGTGCTTGGTACAGCAGCGTATAAATTGTTTCGTAATTTTTTATGCAATTTTTCTATCCTATTATATCAAAATCGTGTCTTTGAAATATTATTATGTTGCATGAGAATATTTCACACGTTTTCTGTTATGCTATATATGATGTTTCAAAATACGTATAGACATAATTTCAAAATAAGATACAAATTTCATATAATCATGAACCCGATATGATCTTGTTTCCGAATTATATCTGCTTTTATCTTTCAATAATTCATATAACTTTATTAACTGTTAGACTAGCAAACAATGCTGAAAAATTACTATGTCGTCGTATTGAAAACAGTTGTTGACTAATTCAAATAACACCTGGTACTTTTTGAACGACTGAAAAGATCTATGACAAGATGTTTGGAAGTCTGCATTGTAACTGTAATGTAACCACTTCGAATAGTTTTAATAAAAATCATGTAACAACGCGTATCATAAAAAAACAAGGTCATTCGGGTCAATCATTACAATTATTTTTCTCAATTTTATTTGATAACATTTTATTCTACATTTTAAATCTAATTTTTCATATAAAATCATCCCCTACTCGTCTGTACCATTAATTACGGGACACTTTGTATATGAATGTTTAGAATCATCTACGCGTTATATATTACATATGAGCTTATCGATCTATAAAAGTGTAGATTATCTTCGACAAATTCCAATTGGATCATTATTATTCTCTTTGTTATTGCTGTTGCTCTACCTACAGCTACACAAAGGAATGCGTAATTGAGATTCTCAATCGAGTAAATTTATTCTATAGGAATAATAATAACATTAGAACGAGATTACATATTTAATTGTAAATTGATCAAGTTCAATTATTTAATGGAATGCACAGGACGAGTAAAAGGTTTCTTAAGAAGAAAAGTATCAAATAAATGAATCATATAAAACAAACGTATAAAATCACCAAATCTTCGTTTAAAAAAATAATGGAAATTTACAAAATCTTTAGAAATAATATTGTTATTAGTGTTAATATGATTGACACATTGTTTAAAAACTTCCAATTCTTTGCATGATGCATTTTCAATTTATACGAAAGTATAAATATACGCCATAGTTTATCGATTCATTTAACATATACTTGTAAGTTGTTTTCAACTCGTTTCTCGAATGTTGTCCAACACTTTGAGAAAGGTGAATAATTATAAATGTTACATAATATTGTTAATAAATTCTTGCAAGTTGTTCTAAATAAGATTTTTGCATTAAAAATTTAGATAATAATGTTATAGAACGTTTATTGTCATTAAATTTCATAAGTAGAATAATAGAAGAGTACATTTTAACAAGTCAACTTTTTAAAATCATCACCGGGAAATAGCAAATTAAAAAATACATCATGCACATTTTACGATAATACGTTTGACATATATTTATATATATATATGCATTTATGTTAATAAATACCTGCACGTGTTCTTATAAGATAATAAGAAGAAAAAAATAGATTTTAAAATGTAAATGCATGTTATTATCTAACATGTAAAAGTATTTGTAGGTATTATGAGATAAAAAAATTCATGGAAAAATTGCATTCATGTTGTTAGTTAACATGCAGTTAAAGCGAGGTCAATGGGATTATAGTTAGCGAAGGCCTCGACAATGTGTTTCGACACTTTCTATGGTCGAACGCGCAAGTATCATACCTTCAATACATTCCCGTTTCTACTTGGTTTTATAATAATGGATGTTCGTTGGGGTGTAAAAAGTTCAAAAGAATGTCGATAAATGAAAATAAAAATAAAAAGAAAAAAAATACGAAGAGAGTGCGAAGAAGATTTTACAATAACCGTATATAAGGTTTGTATATCGTTTATGTTCACAAGCAAAAGACACACTAACAAACATTAATGTTAATTTAAATTATTATTCATTAAATAAATGTTTAATAGAAAACATCAGGTTTGGGAAAGTATGCTTTTTGTTAATATTTTCTATTACGCTTAAATTCTCCCTAATAAATTGTATAATTAACTTTTTCTGGGGTTGTTTATAAAATTTTAAGCAATGTAAACTGCATATATTATCAAAAATGAAGTTAGTGATTTTTGATTGAATATAAATGATATGCTCGTTCTAGAAATAAACAATTTCTCTTTCGTTTGTTTTTCTTTTCTATGAAAGATAGATTATTTCAATTATACTATTGAATATTTATTGAAATGCAATTAATTATTAATTTATTAACATAGATAGAAAAAAGAAGGAACAATAAGAAGTTGTTTTCTCCAACATATTCAAAGAAATTTATGATATTATTGCATCACACTAATTATTTATTACTTTTACGTCATTACTGTACAACCATTGTTTTTAATATTGGAATAGAATAGAAGTTAATTGGGGAAGACGGAAGAACAGGAGTTGGAATCTTTTATAAATAGTTGCCTTAGTTGGAAGTTAATTTATTTTTCTTTTATTATCTTCGATTGAGTATGATTAAGCATGAATCAATCTATGGAAAAAGTTCGAACGTTCTTAAAGAAAAAGTTTGAACAATTAAATGTTAAAAACATCCAGATGATTCATTCTTAGATATTGGATAAGTTCGAAAATGATTTTAACAAAAATAACAATATAAATATAATAAATTATTATTCATTATATTATTTAATATATAATTCTCGAAATATTCATTTTATCTCAAATAAAACTTTCGTTAATTTTCTTTTTTTTTTCTTATTCTTTTAAATGGTAAAATTATTTCTAAAGTATTATAAGTTTAATTGTAAAAAACATATTTAATTACATGAACTTTTATTTTATTAAAGAAATAGTTATTCTGATACACCCTGTAGATGCTTTCGAAATGTTGTGTTCGCTGAATGCTTCGTATGCTTTAAATGGCCAAACGCACCAATATTTCTATCTTCAAAGAGTTGAGAGTGAAAACTAGACTGTTCCCCATCTGCCACTGGAGAACATTATCCTATCTTTGGTCACTTAACCAAATAAGAAAAAGACCGTTTCGAAGGAATCGTTAAAGAAAGGATCGTCTAAATGATTGGTAAACGATCATGTGAATAATCACTAATAATCCATTCCTATGATTAAATACAATAAAATAATTCATTAAACTGTTTGGTTATATTGCCCTATTGCATTTGGAAAATTGTGACTACATTTTTATTGAAACTCTACAGTGAACATGATTTTCAGTAATAAAAAAAAACATCTCAAAAGATGTTCATAATCTTTTTATTTTTTTATTTTTATAAATCAATCATTACACTTGATTATATTCATGTATTCATTAGATAATTAGGCATGTACGTGCCGTTTCCAGTTTTCCGTATAATTTCATGATTTATTGATTAAAACTTTCACGAACTTTCTTGGTTGTTTGATATTAGCAAAGAATTATATGTTATATATTTTAAAATCAAATATTCAAAAAAATTCACGTTCATATTGTAATCAATGTGAACGAATGATACGCAAATTTTAAAAACTATATGAACTTTCTTGGTTATTATCTATTCATTCCATCGATGATGATTTCTTTCACGTATGTACTTTTTTTTTTTATACATTTTTAAAAAAGAATGTTAAACCAATTAAAATTATATATAAGCGAATGAATCAACCGTAATAAATGGATGTATAAATTATACTTCTTCCGTGAGTTTCAGTGATGTTTGAATATCACAAGGTTCGACATCATTATAGTGATTAAAATATCATAATATTTGTAAAGAATTCGTTTTTTTTCTTTTATGTCAACAACATCTTCAAGAAGTGAACGTCTTAATGATAAGGAAAATAAAAGAAAAAAGAATTAACTATTAAACTATTATCTATTAATTAATTACGATTATAGTTACGAGCATGATCCAATTATTATCGTACAGATACTTTAACGACAAAATTAAAATAGTATTTTATTGATAAAAAAAATCAAATGTATTTCGTGTATTTTATTTGCGATAATGATCCTGTGTTATTAATTTTTATTTTTAAGTCATATAACATTAAATTAATAAAACTCGGACTAATGCTTATTAAAAAGAGGAGAGCATTGAAGATACACTTTAATATAATACTACACATCTCGAAGTATTCTATGCTGTGCCTTGTACCGTAATCTTATCGATTTTATCGAGTTTATAATCAACGTTATGCAAGCACATATTTGCACATATAACGTATTTATAATAAGCGGAAGAGATATAGTAAATTTGACACAAAGATATTTTTTTTTATTATATCTATTATAAATAATGTATCCTTCGTCTGATAACTTATTTGTTTGCAACGCGTACGTCAATTTAATATTTTTATTAAAACTTATTATTAAAATATGCATATAAAATCTTATTGGAAATATATTTTTAGAGTTTACCGTTAGCCCTTGACAACAAAGACGAGGACACACTCTCTTTCTCTACTCTCAATCTATTATTTTTTACCTTTTTTTTTCTTTCTTGTTTACATGTTTGTAAAGTTTAATATCTATCGTGTTAGAACGATTAATTTAACTTTCATCCGGTTAATCATGGAAAATTATAGACATTCGATCCATTGTTTAGTTTTCCACGAAAAACCATTTTATTTTTTCATTTTGTACTTCCTGTTTTTCTAAAATAGTAAGTTATATTTGTAAAAGATAACAAATTCTACAAAAATTTCATGTGAACAATTTTTTATTCTAATTACTTTTTAAGACGATAACGAGTTTAACGCAGTTGTTTTTCTCTTTTTTTTTTTCCTTTCTTCTTTTTTTCTATCTACAATTAATTTATATATGACAATTAAGAGTGACTAACAATGATATAAATTTTCTTATATTTACATTGTTCAATTTTTTTTTATCAAGATTACTATTTGCGTTTGCGAATGATATCGTGCATGTTTGTTGGTAATTACGAACCGACGATTTTTTTTAACGATAAAAAAAAATGTTTAAATATAAATGACGTCCTCTGTTTCAAATATTTTTTTTTACGGATTTTACGTTAGGGAGAAATTTAAACGTTGAAAGAGATATCAAAGAAATGCACTCTCGCGTACTCTCAAACTATCGATAATGATCGTGGCGTAATTTGCCGGTGCAACAGTACGTATATAAACGCATAGATACCTTGGCAAGATTTCAAAAAGATTTATTCAAGCTTTGTCGTAATAATCCATCTATCCCTCGTCGCTTTCTAAAACGTCTGTGAGTTTATTATTAGTGTTTTAGACTTGAAAAAAAAAGAAGAAGAAGAAAAAGAAGAAGACCTTCGAAAGAGATCAAATCTAATTCGTTTCATTAAAATTATTTAATTAATTTTATTTTATTCTAATATTTTTAACGAAAAGATGGAGTATAAAATTTATTTTGAAATGTAAATTTAATTTTCTTCCCTTGAGATATAAGATCAAATTAGTTCCTCCAAATTGTTCTTATTCTATTTTATTATTTAATTATTTTTTTTATTTACTTTTTTTCTTTTATTTTTTTTTTTATTAAATTTTAATTTATCTTATGACAAATATTAATAGAATAAAATTGATATTAAAATGATATATTCACCTTTCTGAGACGGTAAGATTTTCTAATTCTGGTACCCAGCACCAATGTTCTTCCGGTACCAAAGTGAGAAAGATTTGAGAGAAATATACCCAAGCAACGAACGAAGCAAATGGTATCATCAGAATGAAGAGTATCTTTTGATAAAGTCCAAATTCCCCGACGTAAGGTAAAAGATCGTCGAAGTCCATTTCTTTGATATCCTTTCCATTGGCAAGTTGATTTTTAATATCCTTTCCTGAATTCTTACGATTCCCATGTTTATCTGTAGAATTTGAAGTCTGCGATAAAGTGTCACAGGTATTATTTGTTAAATTCAACCCAGTGGTGGTCGTTGTATCAAGTTTTTCTTGAGGTGACATTTTCTTCGTAAAACGTGATTTTCCAATTTAATTATATTCTTTTAAAAATTAACAAAAGGAAAGCAAAAAGAGAAGAAAGAAAAAAAGCTAAAAGATCTATCGCGACTCGACATAGATATCAAATAAAAGTCTTCGAAATGAACAAAAAAATGTATGACACTTTAGAAACCACTTGATTTTCTTCGTTTTAATAAGATTATATATTATTATTTTGATAGTTATATCTATGTTATTAGAGTTTACTCGTCTAATCACTAAATTAAATAAGAACACTACGATGATGATTCTTTCTTATCGTCAGACAATCACTATCGACGTTTATAAACGTAGAAATCATAAAATTTTGTACGTTATGATGATTAATCTTTTTATTAGAAATTTATCTTTTAATTAAACAAAAAAAAACGTCATAAGTAATATTAATATGCGGAATGCGTTTTTAGATTACAATAAGACATTTACAGTCTATGGGGGATAGGGAGTTTGTTAGTTGGAACCGAGTCAAGTTAACCCCACGGTGTCATTTAACAACGGGTAAATCCTAAGAGAAGAGACATCATCACTGAAACGTTTATTCCTTAGCCTGCCTATATAGGTATCGACCGGGAGTTTATCCTTCCCCACTCTTTCTCTTTCTCTCTCTCTTTCTCTCTCTTACATACACACATACATACATACACACATACACATGCAATTTTGCTCTCACTTGCTTCATAAAGAACTCAATATTCACTAAACGACATTGAACATAAGTAATTTGCGGTGATTGTCCTTGCTTTTGATATTCATAATGTTTCTTACATATATTGGATTTTTAATTTTATATCTTCATTAAGCCTAAAATAAGAGAATAAATATTTACATTAAGATTGATTTCTTTATTTTAATATTCAGATACAAAGTAAATTGCAAATATGATGCATTCTGTGATTTGTAATTCAAATAAGAAATAGAAATCATTTCTATTTAGATTCTAATTCAATCGGTACGAAATACATTTCTCGAATCGTGTGGTTTTACGATACCCACAACAATGCATGTATCTATCACTTGTTCCAATTTATGAGGTAAATAATGAAAAAGAGAGAGAGAGTGATTTGATCTTTCGAAACCCTAAGCTGATTCTCTAATAAAAAGCAAGGTAGCTTTAACTCAATAAATAACGTAGTAATCTATAAGACGTATATACCTTTAACATTTTCCTATCTAGATTAATCGGCTGACCATTTAGATATACCGGAATTACGTTTGATTCGTTTATATGTCATATTAACTTGGTATGCGTATACTTAACTTATTCCGATAAATAATACAATTGCGTCAATATAAAATCTCTGCTTTTAAGACATTCATTATGTTTTCGAAGAATCATTCAAAATACGTTATATTTAGTTTAAATAACGTTAATATTTGTTTCCATAATTTTACCACAACCATCCCCTTTCACTTTTAATCATAACAGAAAATATTGTATTTTATTAATGTACAAAAAGAAAAGGTTTAAATAATTATAATATGCTTGATGAATCGTCGAATAAATAAAAAATGTTCTTACAACGTTTATGTGAGATTCGCACGAGTTATTTGACCAAAATGTAAATATAAAGAGAAAGTGAGATTTGAATTTGGCGCAATAAAACGGCGGCATTTTTAAATGACCGTAGACCAATCAACTGGTTATTTTGAACACATGACCATTCGATTACTTTCTATTTCTATCGTAGTCGATAGTAGGAATGTTCAGGTGGTCAAAATACAATTGTCCAATGGTCTTTAGATCTTTGAATAAAATTTATTAGTTTTTTTTATTCAATTTATTTTGTAATTCCGGAACATACGTAAATGCTATATGTATTTTCTTCCTGTTCTTAGGGAGAAGAACTTCACGTTAATTTAACTTTCGATGAACATATATATGTATACATGTATATATATATATACATACATATATATATATAGATACGATTAGATGTATCTGGATGTATCCTCACTTGGTTAGGAATGAAAACGTCAAAATAAACGTTCACCAAGTTTTTCCAAGAAAGTTCGATCGATCAACATATTTGTTACATATTTTAATCTTCGAATGATCAAAATACAAATCGGAAAAAATGCAGAATAAGAAACGTGTTTGATATTGAGTATAAAAAGAATGATCACCTGTGAATTGATAACCAATTGAAGAAATAAATAAAGTTATCGCGAACTTAAAAATTTCTCCATGAATTATATCTAATCGTATTTTAGATAAGAGATTTAATCTTTCAATTTTTTAACAACGTTTTTAATAAAGGAAGATTATAAGGCAAGGAATTTAGTTAAAATATGCAGGTGCTCCTGAGATAGTTATTTGTTGTGTCTTTTTAACAAAACGTGACAGAAACACCTTAAATATTTGCTGAGAAAAACATAGAATTATAAAGAAAAAAAAGAAAATATATCTATAGCTGTTATATACTTATGTATAAAATTTTGTATCCGTTGTACATATACATATATATAAATGTATATATGTATATATTTGAATAGCAATGTGAGTGAAATTAATATGAATATTATTGAACAACTGTTTGGTGTTTCTGTACAAAAGACCTTCTTCTATGCATAAGATTATGAGTACGATCATCATGTAGTTTAAGATAAAAATGATGTCTCATATCATAGCTCTGAGTTCTGTAAGAAGACGATGTATTATCATATTGTCAATAGTATTAGTGCCATGTGCCATTTTAAATCTTTTGTCATCGACGGATATACACGAAGAAACAATGTTGCAGAACAGCATCGCTGAATTACAAGTTAAGCTTGAACATTTGCACGCCAAGTATATAAGTAGCCAGGAAGAAATAAATCTGTTGTCGCATCAATTGCTACAACTAGTAGAAAGCAATCATATTATACCTGATCTTCAATATCTGATCAATAATGGTACATCCAATATAACAAATATTAAATTACCATCTATATACAATTTTCTTCCACATTTTTTAAATGATCCGAATAGTTTGCGTCCTGCATTTATACAAAGCAAAGGACGTTCTGGAGTAAGCATGGTATTAGGTATACCGACTGTTAAAAGAGAAGTGCAAAGTTACTTGATGGCTACATTAAAAAATTTAATCGATCGTATGAGCCCTGCAGAAACTCTTGATACATTGATAGTAGTGTTAGTAGCCGAAGTAAGTCAATATTTATATTTAAATTATTTTAGAATAGATTTGTTTCTTTTGATTTAATTATAACACGCTCTTTTTCTTCTATTTTGTAGACAGATATGGATTATGTGACGTATGTTGCAAAGCAAATAGAAGTGCAGTAAGTCTATATTTTTTACACGACCTACCTGAATTTGAATGAACTTGTTTTGGATATGTCTGTATATCTCCCTTTTTGTAGCAACTGAGTTTTATATATACATCTATAATCATAGATTAGTTTATCGTAGTAATAGATTGCTTCTTGCATTTATACAAAATATACGTTTGATATTTAAACTCTTACACTTGTTAACGTCGCATGGAAATATTACAGACATTTATTACTTTTGACCAATTTAACAAAATATTATCTTATATATGTACATATCGTTTTTTCTTAATAACTAAAACACTTTCTCTTGTCTACTATTAAATCATTTTAGATTTCCAAATGAATATGAAACTGGAGTCATCGATGTGATATCTCCATCTTCATCATATTATCCAGATTTATCTAAATTGCGAGATACTTTAGGAGATGATCATCAACGCGTTATTTGGAGGTCAAAACAAAATCTGGATTTTGCATTTCTCATGTCGTATGCTCAGACAAAAGGAATGTTTTACATACAACTAGAGGATGATATTTTAGCTAAAAAAAATTTTATAACTACCATGAAATCGTTTGCTTTACAAAAAATTAGCACAAAAGAGAATTGGTTTGTATTGGATTTTTGTCAATTGGGATTTATAGGTAAGTTTCGTTCATATTATTCTAAACAAATTAACAATATAAATTTAACGTTATTTAATTTTACATATTTTCTTGCTGTTTAGGAAAGTTATTTAAATGCGTGGAACTGCCATGGTTAATCCAATTTTTTCTAATGTTTCATAACGATAAACCTGTAGATTGGTTATTAGATCATTTAATTTCAACTAAAGTTTGCAGTCTTGATAAAGACAGTGTAAGTTTAATTTTAACTATTGCATTATGATTTAACGCATGAAACTGCATGCCATATTTGCGGGTTTAACCCTTAAGATTCGCAACGCATAAAACGAGTCTCATTTGTTGTTATAGTGTAAAGGGTAATATTAATTAATTTTTATTATTTTTTATTTATTATTTTCTGTTTGATTATTCCAGAAACATTGTAAGATGGCTAAAGCAGAACTCTGGATACACTATAAGCCTTCACTTTTTCAACATATAGGGACACATTCTTCGTTGAAGGGGAAAGTACAAAAACTTAAGGTACCCTATCGAATTTGATCATTTATGCGCATTTGTCTGTTGACGTGTATGTAATCGAAATATTTTTAAATCGTAGGATAAACAATTCGGCAAGATTACTTTATACTATGCTCATGAAAATCCTGATGCATTGGTAGAAACTCAAATAAAACCTTACAAACAATATACGCTACAAAAAGCATACAAAGGAGAATCATTCTTTTGGGGGCTTTTACCACAACCGGGGGATCACTTAAAGTTTAAATTTTCACACTCTATTTTTATAAAAAGGTTAATATTATGCAAGAATTATTATATTTTTTTTCTGAACAACTTATTAACTATATTTATTTAAATTTAGGTACTTATTTAGAAGTGGAAATCCTGAACATCCGTCTGACAGATTTTATAATACAACTGTTGAAGTGTTACCTGAAATATTTATGTCTGTAGATAGAAATAGTAATGATATAACAGAAGATGGTTATATTATTGTAGGTTGGTAATAAGATGATTTATTTTGAAGATATCTTATTTTATTATATCAAATTTTGTTTAGAATTTGTAATAAAATATATTCGCAAATTAATAGGTAAATTTGATGCTCTTGGAATTGCTCAAGGAACGGTAGATAGAAAATATGGAAAAATATCTGTTCTCAGATTGACTGTGCATAGTGAAAGTGAAAATTGGGCAATTTTATCTGAGGTATAAATTTAATTAACTTTTTTTTTATTTCTTTTTTTACTTGTATCTACAAAATTTCATTGATAAAAATGTTAATATTATTGAACAGATTCATGTAGTAGAAGATCAACCAAGCTGACCCCTGAATGAAGAATTTCATCAATATTTTCGGTATCATTTGCATGGCTAGAATGTTTGGGCTATATTTTTTTGGTTAATACAATTTTCATTTTTAAATTATATTAATTTTTTAAACAACATTAATGTGCCAAGTAGTAGATCACTAATTAATTAAAAAAAAAGTATTGCTATTCTTCATTTATGTGTGCTATATTAAAATATTTAAATATATACTTATATTAAAGAAAGAAACGTGATCTACGGTGCAAGTGATACTGCTTTAAAAATTTTATTTCTACTTACTTAAAAACGAAGTATACGCATAAAATTTTTTGAATTTTTATTAGATTAATTTTAAATCATTTGTGAACGATATATTTATTTTTTTAGAAAGTGTACCTGCAGAATCAGTATGTAGTAATTTTTCGTAAAAATGTTTATTAAGTTCATGAATTAATATATTTTATTTATTCTACCAATATGTTCTTGTATATACATATTTAAAATACAGTATAGATATAATGGGACTAACAAAATTAACAGTATATTCTATACTGTATTGTGATAACGAATGTAATTCACATTTATTACAAACGAGACATTAATGCTTTTATTCAAATAGTATTAATTCTTAGTAATGAATTAATGAAATACTTTTTTTCAATATCGAATTATTCTATATGTTAACTTACGAATTATCATTTACAAAGATTAAGGATTAAAAACAAAATTTATGAATATTTTGTTTTGAAAATCTGTAAATCGTGAAATCTTTGAAATCTCGTTTGTGTAAGTGCAAGTGCAACTTCTTATAAAAAAGAAATATTTTGGAAACGACTATGAGCTAAAAAAAAACGAAATGATAAACTTAACCTTTCTTTCTTTATACAAAAAGAAATATCTATATATATAAATATATATATATATTATACATGTATACATACATTTATACGTGCGCGCTATTTGTACGCAAAATGTGATTCACTTTAACTCTAAAACAAACAAATTAATTAAATATTCGTATAAATAAATTTAAAAAAGCCTATTAATATGAAAATTACCTAAAATTTTACTATTTGCGCTGTGTAAGATTTGGTCGGATATATATGATAATCATTATACTGTTTTTATAACACCGCTTTTATCTAGGAACAGTTATAACTATTATAATTATTGTATGGTATTATTTATTAAAACATGAATATATTAAAATATACATATTATTCTTTAAAAATTTTGTTATTAGTTCACTTAATTAATTTTCATTTTTTGTATTTATAATTCCACAAAATGAAATATAAGATTAATAATTTAAATAAAATCATAATATTTATCAAAAAATGATAACAAAATTATAGATAATTTTAAAAAATTTCTATCTAATTCAGAACTTCTTAAATTGACTAAATACTACACATGTTATATATGTATATGAGTTTATGATACTGAAAAAAATACTTACGTAATTATAAAGAAAAAGAACTTTTTACGATATTGTAGTTTCAGTAATGAATCCTAGTGTAACTTCTAACAAATTTTCATGAACAAGGTCTCAACGTTTATCATTTAATTATGTCATATAAATTATTGATTTATTATTCTTGCACTAGGTAAGTTATTGGGTTCATATTTGAAGTAAAAGCCAAAAAATTCAAATGGATATTTAAGAGCTTTTATATCATAATAATTCTATTACAAATTAAATATTATTCATAGAAAAGAACAATAAATGATGTTCGTAGAATGTTGATTTTTCTAGAATTAACTATGTTATATTATTTTGTATATTATTCCTTTTTTTGCTCAGGAGGATACCAATTAAGATAAAATGCTCCTGATGCTTTACCCTACAAAACAGAAGGTTATATATATACATTACTTTTTATATTTTTTATATAATATAGTTAATGATAAAAAATTAAATGATGAAAATTCTACATACCGTAATTAAAGTGACAACGACAAAAATAAGACAACCAGCTAATTGTAAATTGTACGATGCTTGCTTTTTATCATAAGCTTTTTGCCATGAACCACTTGGAACTGGTAGACGATCCATTGTTGGCGGTTCATAATTTGCAGGACGATAAGATGAAGAAAAACGGTTACCTATGAATATGAAATAAATTGTTTATGGTAAATGATACAATATTTATAATCAAATTAATTATATAGCATTAGTGAATTTTGTTCATGGCTTTATTACATTTTTGATATTTGATATTTAACTTGTTAACATATAAAACATTACTATTACAATTGGACACAGTAGAAATTGTATTTATATTACTTTTTTTATATCAATATTAATATTAATTATAATTTTTAGTTTGTTGTGAAATTTATTATGTTGACTGTCTTGTAATTGATTAAAATAAAAGTACATATAAAAATAAATGTACATTATAATTAAAAGCGGTATAACATGACATATGCATATACATATACAATTATTTTTTATTAAATTAATTATCACGAATATGACAATATAGAAATTAAATATATATTTTTGTAAACTTGGCAAAAATATATAAATAAGTTATATTAACATTTCATAATAGTTATATTATACAGTATTATATAAGAATTGAAACTCTTAAGAATGTCTTAGTTATAAAGTATGATTTTTAATTATCTTACTCATTCGGGAAACATTCCGTACAACGGAACGCACTGCATGCTGAAACATCTTGTGTTATGTTAAATTTTATAATTTCTCTTATAAGAAACCTCTTGTACGTCTCTCGAAAGTACTTCGAACACTACATTAAGAAGATGAAAACGCTAGATTACAGATAGGAAACTATTGAACGCAATTCTTTGACCAATAGGATTATTTACTCTTATGATAAGTAACTGTTTTATCGACCGAATTTGAATTGAAATTGGTGGAAAAACAGTAATCGTTTGAATTGAGTAATTTAATTTAAAAAAATGGAAGTATATATATACGAATACTGAAGAAATTGTAAAAGATTAAATTAAAATAAAATTTAGAAATAAAATGTTATTAATAACATTGTATGACTTCCTTATTTATTTTATTTAAAAGAAATATATCTATTTTTAATTATTTTATATCTTCCTCTAATATTATTACACAATATAATTTTTAGATAATATTTGTTAGCAAATATTTTATTCAATGAGTTTTCGTCTTATGAAAAATTTTAAAAATTATTACAGACTGTACAACTATTTAATATTATAAACGAATTGAAATGTATTGTAATAGTGTTGAAGTCTCTATGCATTGATTAAAATTGAGAGAATTATATATTATCAAAGATTACTATTATAAACATATACTATAAAATCCAACTACATTTACTTTAGGAATAAAAAAAGTATACATATTATATATATTTTTATAATTGTCAATTAACCGTTTCAGTCCCAAGCAGCGCGATCGTGCTTTTCAGATATTGTGTCAAAAAATTTCAGTACATTTCGAGTGTATTCTGGTATTTAAAAGATTAAATGAACTTATTAACATATAATATACAATATTAAGTGTTACAAGCTCATTATTTTAGTACCAAATATTTGTACCAAGAAAAATGTTTTCAATTGAATGACTTTCACCTAACTACCTACAAGGAATTATTACAGTCCTATATAAAATTACAAATATATTTCACATATTCACGACATTTTGTAAATATAAAATAATTTTGAAATATAAATTTATATATATTATTTAAAATTATAGAATTAAATTATAAATTAATAAGATATTCTGCATTAAACATTCTGAATTCGCAACTTTCATTTATTCATTCTTTGTCTTTTGTATGAAGACGCATATGCTTTTTTAAATTGTCCAATCTATTACAGCGACGATCGCAATAATCACACTGATAAGGCATTGAATTACTATGAACAACAACGTGACCATTTAAATGACTTATCTGTTTAAAACGTTTACCGCAAATTGTACAAGCATATGGACGTTCATTCATATGCGCCGATGCTATATGTGTTTGCAAGTTAGTCTTTCTAACAAATGTTGCTTTACAAATGTCGCATTCGAAAGGTCGAATATTAGCGTGAATTGCTAAATGAGATTTGAGAACATTTTTGTGTTTAAAATTTTTTTCACAAAGGTGACATTGGAAAGGACGTTCGTCGTTGTGTACTTTCTTGTGAACGGACAAATGCGCCAACTGTTTAAACATTTTTGCACAAATTTCACATTGATACGTTCGACCATCTTCATGGGCAGCACTGACATGCCGACGTAACGTATCTGCTAACGTGTATCTTTTACCACATATTTTGCAAGAAAATGGCCTTTCGTTTGTATGTGTCATAAGATGTCCGTTAAGATTTCTTTTCTCTAAAAATCTTGCTCCGCATACATCACACTGATATGGTTTTTCACCATTATGAATGTACATATGTTTTTTTAACGAATTCGATAAGCTAAATCTCTTCGAACATACAGTGCATTCAAATTTTCGTTCTCCAGTATGAACTAACATATGAGATTTTACGTGACCAGCTTGCTTAAATCGTTTCCCACATATTTTACATCCAAATTGACGCTCATGCGTGTGAGTAAATATATGACGTTCCAACACACTTTTTGTTGTAAAAACCTTCTTACAATTGTCGCACTCAAAAAGACGATAAATTTCTTTAGACTTTAATATCGATTCACCTTGATGTAATTGCGAATGAGTTTTAAGTAAATCCAGAGATTCAAATTTAATGCAACATGTTGTACATTGGATAGATTTGTAATCTTTATGTGTCAATGAATGTTGACTAAGGTGACCTAATTGCTTAAAACTTTTATTACATATTTTACAAATGTAAGGTCTTTCATTTGTATGAGAACGCATATGCCTTTTTAATACACTAGGAAAACTAAATTTTTGTTTACAATATGAACATTCTAATGTTGGATTTCCATTCAATCTTGATATTCTATTTTCTTCTCTTTTTCTAGGAAATTGTCTTCCATTTATAGGATTTGATTTTTTAATAGATCTAATACATTTATCTGTACGATTCAATACTATGTTACTACTTAAATAAGATTTCATTATTGATTTATGTGTCTTTGGAATTTCTTCTGTTTCTATACTTCCTTTTTTACTAAGATTTATTTCAGTATATTTACTATTAATTTTATCCTTTTTTATGCAATCTATATCACTGTTAATTTGTTGAGGATTCTCGTGAAACTGTTGCATATGTTTTTCATATAATTTTAAAATATGGAATTTTTTATTACACAATGTGCAATCAAATTGTCGTTTCTTAATATGAGTTTTCATATGATTTTTTAAATGTCCCAGTTTCATGTACTGTTTATTACAAATTTTACATGTTAAGTTTTGATTATTTATATTAAAATTATGTTCTTCGATGTTTGCTTCCATACATATCGAATCTTCCATTTGTAAATTATCTAAAAATGTTTCACTTTTAACGCTGACAAATTTAAAACTGTTTGAATTCTTTTGAAATTGAATAGAATCATCGTGAGCGTTTACATGATTATTATGCGATATATCATGATATTCAATATGACACTGAAATAATATAAAAATATACAATAAATTAATTGTAATTATATGAATTACAATATTACTTTAATAACAAGTATACATACATTATCATTTTTATCCGTATCGCTTGTGTTTATCGAAATTATATTTTCAGATGTATGAGTCGAATTTTCAATCGTAGTAGTGTTATTTAGTTTTTTATTTAACGTATCATTAATCCATTCCTCTTCTGTCCACATGTCGTTTGCAGCATTTTTAGGAATTATTAATTTTTGAAACTCTTGATGAACGTTTTGTCCAAATAATACGTCGCACGGTATTTTACCATTTTGACAACGATATGTCGAATTTTGAAAGATTTGTATAAATTTTAAACCTTCGTACCACGATTTGTCAGGATTTTTGTTTAACCAACATTTCAATAAATTTTTAAAATCCCTATTATCATCTTCTTCACATTTGCAAATATTTCCATGTAATATGATAAAATCTTTCCATAAAATACGTAACTCTTTAACTATTTGTTCAGCAAAATTACGTCCATTTCCACTTTGTAAAACTTGAGGAGCTCCAATAATTGATAATATATCTAGCAACTTATTAGCTACTTCTTTTGCTGTGTTACTTTGCAAAGCATGCAGTACCACAAATTTTGACGGTAGATCTTCATAAACTAAGAAGTATTTATAAAAATATGTTTGTTCCAATGGCATTTCTATAACATCTATTTGACCTCTTCGACACAATGTTTCATGTACATCTTTGATCTCTGAACGTATATGTGCATTTTCATTCACAGTCCTAGTCAACGTGGAATTTAAAGGCTGCGATTTATGATTCTGTAAAATATTTTATGATCACTATTTTAAAAAAAACTATAGGATTATAGTTATATACACATAAATATAATTTATATGCGCTTACTGTCGTTATTACATCCGAAGATATAGAAGCTTCTTCATCGTTTATTTTATCACTGTCTTTATTCGTCAAATCTTCAGGATTTTTCATATTCTTTAACGCTTGAAAGTTACGTTTGTCTTCTTCTAAATAAATTTGTTTCTTTAGAGATACAACGTTATGATTATTTTTAGTGGCAGTGAAAAATGCATGCAATGAACTTTTCATATATTTATTGCCAGAAGACCAATCCGTATCTACTGGAAGCTTATTTTCCATTTCTATCATTTGACTCTTTTCATCATATTTTTCTTTTGTCTTAGTTTGAAAATACCTAATCACATAATTGCATATATTTTTATGTTTTATAATTTTTTATGACATGGTTGCGTTAAAAAAGATTTCTCTATGATCGTTCTCGTAACAATGATATTGAAGTTTTCTTTTTTTTTATAATGAAACATATGATAATTGCAGGATAATTACTGACGATGTTTATAACGTACCTATAAAGTTAAATTAAATAAAGCTCACGGAGTAACATAACAAATTAAATCATTTGTTTACGAACATGTCACTTGATTAAATTAAGTTTGAATTTTGTATTCCTTCGTATTAGATTTTCTCGCCTTTGACACTTAAGCATTTTTCTTCTTCGATACTTCATCTTTTTTTCTTATATATATATATATATATATATAAATAAATAAAATTATTATTCGAATAGAAATAATAATTGAAAGAAAAATATTTAAATTATTTTATAATTCTAACCTATAAAAAATGTTATACAGTACCAACTTACAATCAAATTATTTTGTTGTTTCTTTTCATTTTACGTAGATATCGATTACTATTTAGTCCAATTAATTAGATCTCAATTATTTAAATAATATCAATCCTTTTCAGTAAGTAAAATAAAGTAAATACTTATTTTCTAATCCGATTCAACACGAGCGCATTCAAAAGCTTTATCTTCCATTCGTTTGGTTCAAAACTTCGCATTAAAATATATTATATATACATATAATATATATTATTATTATATATATATATATATGTATATAGAAAGAATAAAGCTATTGGTTATTTAATGAAAATAAGAAATGTGAATATTTAAAACATTGTTTACATTATTGTTTACATTCACTATTGACGCGGTTCCATCTAGTTTGTTTATTGTTTTATGGTTGAACCATTCACACATTTAAAACTTTCTATCTCGTCTTATCTTTTTTTAAGACTTTAAAATGTTTCTTTTTAAAGAGACAATATGTTTTTTTTTGTTTTAAATTCTCATGCTAAAAATAGAAATTTATACAAAATAATGAGTTTCATTTGTTCAAACAGTGAAAAACAAACATATATTACAGGCATGGCATAATATATGTTCTTACAATAAAGTGATATAGCATTTAAATGTATAGTGTAAGTAAATACTATGGTGAGTTTGTCATGCGCAAATCTAATCTCTTTTAATCCTCACAGCTGTTAAATGCATTCACGAAGAAAGCTGACTGGGCAATACACGCTGTCAGAACTGTCACGTTGTAATTTTTATATAAACGAGAAAAAAAATATACATACATACATATACATATATACTTGTATCAATAGTCTTCACAGATTTTCAATATGGAAATAAACAAACGATTAAGAGTCGGAACATTTTTGGCGATATTGGCTCTTTTAGCTGGTTTATATTACAGAAATTCGGAAGATATATTAAGGAAACGTTTGTCGGCCTTATTGCATAGTTTAGAAAAATTAGAAAACAAGCATTCAATTACAAACAAACCCAAAGTTGCCGTAGGTTACGGTATATGCACTGACATATATATTAATGCTAAGAATTTATTACATTACTCGGATGATATTGGCTTGCCAGAACATTTTAAAGAAATCAATACAGAAAAAGAATTGTTAAAGAATTTTGCTTATTATTTTCGATATGGTGCTGCTGCTGAGTAAGTAGTCTTTTTGATTTGTCTCTCTTTGATTTTAATTTTTATGCTAAAAACTTTTTTTTCAGACGGTACATGCCTAATCAAACATTGTTCGATGAGCTTGTTAATAAAGCTCGTACATTTCCTTCGTCCTATTCAACTATTGGAGGAAACGCGGCGATAATGGCACTAAGATTCGCGAGAGAAGGCTGTGATGTGATATTAGCTGCTAAATTAACTCAATCGTTGCACCAAATGATTCCACAAGTTATTAGCGTTGTGGGTGGTGAAGTTAAACGTGATGATATTCATTTAGTTTTAGAATATAAAAATGGAGATATTTGGGGACCCTATTCGAGTACTAGAGCGAATAGGTAAATATAATATATAATTATGATAGAATATTACAATACATGATTAATTAAATTTTTATTATATCTATTTTAGATATATTATCCATAACGATGAAAATAATCCAGTTATTAGTTCTTTTAATGCCTTTGATAAAATTCTATCTACCATGAACTTTGATTTACTTGTAATCAGTGGTCTGCAAATGATGGATAATTACCCATTTAGAGAAGGTAATGTATAAAGATGGCATCTTTGGTATTAAAAATACTATATAGCACGATGTAAGTTTTAATAAGTTTTACATTTATTTGTTATTAAGTTTACATTTATACTATTTCATACTTTTCTAAATTGTATGTAATATTTTCTTTTTGTGTATATAGGAGAACGTGTAAGAATTCTTCAGAACATAAATAAACAAATGATTAACAGACCATTGCATACAAAAATACATTTTGAAATGGCCTCATTTGTTGATGACAAATTATTTTCTGAACTATGTAATTTGGTTATTCCATTTGCTGATAGTTTAGGAATGAACGAACAAGAAATAGCTAATTTATACAATACGATGTATTATGGCAACATTTCATTGGTTGCTAATTCAACTCCAAGAGTTGCTACGGTTTTAGATCAGATGAGGACATTGTTTAAACTCATACGTCTAAGAGGAAAGTCTATTTCTAATTCGCGAGCACTTACTCGTATGCATGTACATACTTTGGCATATCAGGCAATATTTACTGTAAAAAATACTATTTGGAAAAACACAATGGCTGCAGCAGCTAAAGCATCTTTAACAGCTCACAGGCATGTTTGCGCAACAAGCAATGTGAGTAATATTTGAATTTTATTGGAATACAAAAATATTTTTTTTATGTTTGTATCCCTATTTATTATTTATCTTTTTTATTCAGATTGATATTCAGAAGGCATCATTAGTTATGGATGAAAGCTTTTCAACTTCTAATACTCGTGGTACAAGAATGCCTTTAGATGTTGATAAACCAGTTTCTTGTTGGGAAGAGTCTTTATCTGTAGAAAAAGAAAACATTCCTATTGAAGTATGCGTTGCTCCTGTATTAATATGTACACAAGCAGCTCAAACTGCAGGCGGTGGCGATAATATTTCAAGCGCGGGTCTTGTTCTTCAAATTTAAATTAAATTAAATTATTCGATGCAACGATATGTATATTAGTATGCATTGTTTCATAACACAACTCGTAATTTGATTTTTTAACATAGAATGTTTTTTCATATCGAAGTATTTACTATTGTATTTAAAATATGCTTTTCTTAGAAGCATTCCAATGAAGATCAGCATTCCAACTATATTAGGTTTATAAACATTGTTCGATAGAAATTTCGTATAAATAATTATATGCCGTTACGCGCATCAAGAAGTTTTATTACTATGTAAGCGGAATTGAAATATTCGTAAAAGAACAAACAATTAAGTAAAACAAAAATAATAAAAAAAGAAATCTGTATATAAAACTTTGTTATGAAATGATAAGATAAATATGCCATTGCACATAATTTTATTAAGTACTTTGCTTTAATATTTGAGAAAACAATAAAAACCAAAAATAAACGATGCCATTATTTAAACATATTATAACGTCAATGTTAATGGTTCTTGAATAAACTGAATGATGGAAATATAATATATTTTTACATGATCCTTATATAATAAAGATGTATGTCTTTTTGAACTTCTAATATATATGTAATAATACTTTTATTAATTTTTAAATTGGACAAAAGTGAAAGATATTGATATACATATTGAATAATTATACTAGGATCATCTAATAAGGTATAATTTACAACATACAACTTATCTTGGTGAAAACTCTATTTGTGTTTACAAGTAATGGCATTATGATAACAGTAAATGACATTGATTAAAATTCCTCCATGAAATAGTTGTTTGTCGAATGATCATAATAATAGTCATTCAAATTCTTATTATGTTATACATTTTCTTCCATAGTATTGATGAACAATATAATGCAACTCTTAAAGCAAAACAATAGCTGAATAGTTTCTAATATTTATATAATTAATTAAAATGATTGACCTAAAAACGGCTTTTATTTAAATTTGCCTTATCATAAAAAATTTTTTGTAATTTTAATGCCAAGATTAAATTATCTATAAACAATATTATAGAATTGTGTCTCCTTCGTCGATACCTAACATCTTTAAATCATCAGGCCCAGGTTGCGTATCAGCTTCAGCTTCCGCTTGAGTTATTTCAGGCGGTGGTTGATCCATGTATTCTGGTCCATACCCAACACAGCCTAACATACTGTACATAGATGAATACATAACGTTACTATCTTGCTGACTTTGCTGTTTACTTTCAGCTGTTTCTTCTTTAGGAAAAATAATATTCAAAGCTTCTTGTAAGTCGTCAGGTAAAGGAATGCTTGGATCTGGCCGTTTCTCGGTAGGCTCTGGTATATCTGATATATCATGAGTTACTGTTTCCACCGAAGGTAACGTAGGAGGTGGAGGATTTTGATGATTTGTAATAAAGGTTGGTGGACTTTGAATTTGTGGTGGAGGATTTGTAATGAATGGAGGATGTGGTTGCATAGGAGGTCGCAATACTTGATGAGGTGGGAAACGTGGTGCAGGTTGCATAAATGGTGGCGGAGTAGACATAAACGGGGGTGGCATAGGTCTAGTTGAAGTAAAGGTTGGCCTACTTTGTATATGTGGTTGTTGAGGTTGTTGAGGTTGTTGAGGTTGTTGCTGTTGTTGCTGTGCCTGTACTTGTGATTGTGATTGCGGCTGTGATGTTGGTTGTTGTGATGGAGGAGGTTGTTGTTGTTGTGGTTGACTTGGAGGGAAAGATGGTGGTGGTCGATTTAAAGGAGGAGGAGGATGAGAAGGTACCGTCACTTTTGTTGTACTTTGAGTTTGTTTTTGTTGTTCTATTATTGGTTGCTCAATAACAGTTTCTTCAGACTGATCTTCAATCTCCATATCGACAACCTGTTGAGTCGGTTTTGATTCATTTAGAACAGGTGGTGGTGGAGCAACTAATATCTTCATCGGCGGTGTCTTATTTGCTTGATTAGCATTATTATTTAAATTAACTGGCGTTGCCAGTTTTGTTATATGTACTACTCCAGGTGGATTAATTATTTCATTGGGAACTTTAGGAGTATCTTCAAATTTGCTTTGTTGATAAGGCAATGGAGCAATATCTTTTTCAGGTAACTTTGGCTCTTCTGTTTTTTTCTTAAACAATGGTAATCTACCAATGAAAGGTAATTTTCCTTTTGCCACCTGTGCTGACTTTTTCGATTGAACACCACCCTTTTTTGATTTAGAAGCTGATTCATTTGTCTTTTTCTCAAACTTCGATTCATCATTCGAGGAATTATCATCTCTTCTATCTTTTTCATATTTTTCATAATTTCTCTTAGGACTATCACGCCAGCTTCTTTCTCGTCTCGGTGACTCATTTACATCTCGTTTTCGTCTTTCCTCGTAATAATCCCTTTCCCTGTCTCTTTCTCGATCCCTTTCCCTGTCCCTGTCACGATCTCTTCCTCGTCTTCTTTCATACCTACTATATCGATCATATTTGTCTTCACGCCTATCATATTTACGATCACGATCATCTTTATACCTGTCTCTTTCACGTTCTCTTTCTTCTTCTTTTTCAGTGTTTTTGCTTTCTGATGGCTTTAAAGTCATATTCACTTGTTGTTT